CAAGCATGGGCAGGAGACAAAAAATGACACAAGTAATCTGCTACACAAGTACCTATGCGAGTTCAGCACTTCTTGGAAGCAGCCATGTTTCAGAGTAAAGCGCCCTTTTTAGACTAAAAGGGGGAAAACACATATTATTAAAGGATCCAGCAAACCTTGATTTTGCGATAGTAACCTACCCGAGGCCAAATCCTTGGCACGCTTGTCAACCATTCAGGTAGACCAATCAAAGTTTAATACATACAAGCCCCACCAGAACGAGTGGATGTTAACTAAAACGTTGGCAGGTTGCCGAACAAACGGTGCACGCTTGCCCTCATGGCGCCAAGAAACCTACTAACAGTATACGTATCAGTTCACATTCCTACTTCAGACAATGAAACGTCTTTAACGCCAGGACAACAAATTCACATGCTTTCTTTTTGAAAGATTACGTGCCACGTTTGGTTCCCACGGCCCCAAATTGTTAGCACGCTTGCCAACCATTTACCTTATGCAGGACGAGTGAACATTTGAAGTCTAAATTGACGGGGAAAATTTCCTTCGGTCGCAATATTCATGCCAAAGACTTTAATTGTAACTAAAAAGGTTCTTATACAAGCGAGTCTAAAACTATGATGGTAAAATTGGGAAACAACTTCGTTGGTGGTCGGTGTTTCCAATCCCGTTTTGTCGACCTCACTACTTCAAATTAAACGCTCTACCTGGAGCTGCGACAGCATGACAGACAAAGTTGAGTGAGCCGACCAAGGACTGGATCTCCTGTAACCAAAACTTGCTCGGCTCGAAAAGACAGAAATTTTAAGGCAAATTGTGTTATCCAGTGGCACAAAGTGAAGTGTGTAGTTACTGGTGTTTGACAAGGACCCTCCGGCCTCTCTTCCCCAAGCGGGACTCCGAGTTGCACTCAAACCTCCTTAATGTACTGATGAGTACGTCAGAGTGCTCCATGGATTCACCAATAAAAAGAAAATTTAAGTAATGTGATGTAAAGGCTGTTTCCAAAACTTAACATGGAATTCTAAAAAAGTGCTCATGATTTTTAACAGCACACAAGAGATAGAACAGCCAAAGAGAAGCATGTTGAACCTAATTTTGAAACTGAAAACCAAAGAAGCTCGTCGTCGGAAGGGCGACAGGAAGTAGTCCAAAAGCAGATTTTTTTTCTTTTTTCTCAAAATGGAAAGCAGAGACATAGCACAATTGATGGCTGCATCAAACGCAATAGACTTCGCATTTGTCATTTGTCAAGTCGTTCACAGAACTGCCCAGGGGTATGTTTGGTGGCCCTGGAGGGACATCGCCAATCGTTAAAATAGACGCCAACATTTGCGACTAAAATCTACGCCCCGCTTTTCGGTCGGGAATATTGCCGTCAATATTCACGACCAAAATTCACAACTTGTATCTGCGGTCGCAAAGATTGCCGCATTTTTTCCCAGCAAGCCGGGTAGCGAGACAAGTGTCTCAAAACAAAACGGCCGGGTTGGTGTTATATAGACAGGCCCAGTTGGAGAAGACTGAAGACAGAGCCGATAAATAAACGGTCCCACCAATCTGCCTATTCAAATTCGTTTTGCGACTTGCCAAGAACTACCTGGTGCCTATCAGTTGCCGACCTAAGGCAAACGGAATCGGTTTTTACTCTAGGACTTCGAAAACAAAGGGACAAAGCTTGCCAAAAACCTTGAATAACCGAATCAGCCGCCAACTAATTAGTTAAATGACCCTTTCTTTGACACAGCCAAATTAATGGGCTTTGGGAGCACAAATTTGGTCTGCTCATCCTTTTTTATAACTGTTTTGTTGTGTTTGAATGAACTCAAGCCTGCCCCTGGACCATTGAGAGTCGGCAGCAATGCCAGCTGTATGCTAGACGGTGCCCGCAGACGGAGTTTCCGTGTGGCACGAGTACGTAGCGCTAACCGTGGCAGATGAGCGCATTGCAGTGTTGCCGAGAGCTGGATTTCAGCCCGAGCCCAATTCATAAATACCTGGGACAGTTTTTTTTATTCCTATTGGTCGAAACGCGTCATGTGACCGTGCATTAACATTTGATAATCCCTGCTTATAAGCAATGACGCCCGCTGCGTAAAATCACGCGCTGGCACAAGGATTCGAAACAGTTTAATTGGGTCGAATTAGTCAGGAATCATTGTGCACGAGACGCACCACGCATGGGCCAAGTTCATCGAAAGGGACTCCATTGGACATTTTTCAAAAGGAATATGCCATAAAATGGACAGAGTTGTTCGGGAAAATGAAAGTAAAATTTTAGAACAAAATCGTTGGGAATCTATCATATGTTGTCTCCTTTTGTCTCCCTGAATAAAAAGGTATTTATGAATGGGAATATCTATGTGCTTGGCTGGTCTTAAACTAATGTTTCAGATCTTGGTCAGGAAAACGAACGATGATAACGCCCTCGCCTGCGGCTTGGGCATTAGTCGCGTCCATGCTTCTGTGCCGGACTTAAACGCACGTTTAAGACTGGCCAGCACTTATTCCCTACTGAAAAGACCAGATCGGCAGTGCGTGCATACGCGCCCATTCGTGGAATAATTGTGCGCCATTTTTATGGTCCCTCAGTGACGCGCAAAATGAACGTAAAGTAAGGCCTATACAGCTAAATGTATCTTTCCCCAGCACGTGACCCTGCAAAATACGCGTGAAGCTGTTAAAATAAGCGTCCTGATTGCGCGGTGCACATACTCTGAGTGATAATGCCGCTTGCCGTTTCGGTTGAGTTCTGCGTTCGTCACGTTTAATGCGCATTTTTGTATCTTTCCTCCAGCACGTAACCATCCAGGAAAGACCACGGGTATTTGTATTGGCAAACTAGTCTTTTCATTCTATATCTATGGCCCAGGCCTCACGCTCACTGAACATGAAGAATCGGAGCGCCCCAATTTACCATAGCGAGTACAGCTGTGAGACTACCGGCAGAATTCCACCGGTAGCCGCACAGGAAATAGAGCCTGAAAGTTGACCCCTGAGGGCGTGCTTCCGAAACCCTTGGATGGGAAAAATAACGAGCAAAGATTTTAGAATTTGTAATATTTTTTCGTTCATTTGCTTCTTTAAAAATTCGACTCGGAAAATTGGGGCTTTGGAAAATATTTGCTAGTATAGCAATTTAGAAACTGAAAAATTACCCGACCTAAAAGAGAAATATCCAACCAAAATTGACCCATCACTTCCGAAAATCTAAAATATATGAAGAACAGTGAAATGTCCCGTACGCAGATGAACATTTACGAGTTTGAAATGTTATGGTAGTCCGTCGGTAAAAGCCGAAATAAAAACAGATCAAAATACTTAAAAGAGCCTTATAGTTTATAACTTATAAACTTAAAGCAATATTCTGCTTCAGTTACTAAGGATTCTTAATTCTTTAACCTTTGCTGACAACAACTGCGTGATGTCAACTCAACGGAATCTGGAACCCATCGACTGCAAGTAGGTAAATCTTTGCAACGTTGTACACTCTCAGGCGGTGAAAACAAACGTGCATGAACACATTACCCATGAGACCTTACCCATCTCCAGGTGACTTTTCGTAAATATTACTTGACAACGACAAAGATAAAATTCCAACATGAGTGTTTCATGGGGACGTTTCAGTTAGACATAATTCTTCCAACTGAATAACTCTTCCAACTGACTGACTCCCAACATAATGGCCCAACTCCTTTCGGGTCATGTTTATGACATTATGGATAGTTTAGGAAAATATAACCCTACCTTACCGATAATCTCTTAGTATTTATGTGGCACATAATAGCACCACGCTCTGCTTCCAATTTTTTTCATTCAAACAGCTTGCCTTCATTACTTTTAATTAATTGTAACTCTAAAAGAAATCGCTGCACAGTCACAGAACGCGTCTGTTACAAAGACACTCTGTTATTTACTGAAACATTTTACAAAAACTCATTGTGGCACAACATAATTTTTCTAGGGTCTAGGCCAACATCAATTGTTAAAATTACTTAAGGCCAACGGCTGGGAAAGAGCTAGGTCCCGGAATGCAACACAACTTTTTAATTTCTTTTAAATACATGTATACAGTCAGATAAACAGTTCAAGAAAAAATGTCATGATAATGTCACAGGATGTGTACTCTGCTTTAATTTTTAGCCTTCTGCCTACAAGTCAACGCGCGTTGCACGTCTGAAAATGAGATCTAATCATCATCATTAGTGATAAGTCCGGTAGTTTTGATATATAGTCTTTTGTCTTCTGCTATTTGTTCTCGATGGCTGCCAATGGTAAATTAGCATGCGTTGTCATGTCACAGGATTCTGGCAAAACAATTTATATCGGAAACAGCAGGTTTTGACTAAGCAAGGCTCATTCTTCAGTGAAGGCATTTAAATTACAATGACACACGTAAGTTAAAATATTTGCTTTTCTTTCAAATGTGCATTTTAGAGATCACAATTGCATACAAACTGGGTAAAATTATACATGGAGAGAGATGGTTCTGTCGCGGAGAATAAGGATACAGCCCACCTTAGGTTTGTCACAGTCTGCCGATCAGGATAAGTCACATTTTAATTGAGTCCTGTGCACCCCCCCCCCGTGTTTTCCTTCCCTATCCAGAACAAGAGAAGGGAAAAGTATCTGGTGACAGTATGCCTTTGTCGTTTTGTAAGCGTTTACGCCTCCAGGAAATGGGGCCCCTTAATTGTCCCTCGATCGCCACTGACCAGGTACGTGTACGTGTATTAGCAATTATATTTTAAGGGTGGCTTGTTGGGAGGATAGGAAAAAAAAGCCTTGGCTATCACTGACAAGTTGAACAGAAAGTATAATCTATAGATCGTGTTCTTTAATTTTCATCGAAAAACTACAAACAAAAGAACTAGCTGTTTCCTTACAGCTGTGAGCGTCACGGTACGTCGGCTTTTTCTTTTGGACTCCATCCGACAGGATGGGCCAACCATCCAGTGTACACAAAGTCCCGCGAGTGACATCCAAACAAGAGAGGGCGTCGTTACAGTGACCAGTTCGACACATTTTCCAAAATGGCTACCCCTGGTGGATTGATGAACAAGAAGAAGAAAGATTTCCTCGGTGTTGCCGCTCCTCTTGGTTACGTCCCCGGCTTGGGGCGAGGGTAGGTAGTTTAATGGGGATATCCAGAACCCTTTCACTACATGTATCATTCAATTTTTCCACCTTTTATAAGGCGTGTTTGGCGGGCATGATGGGCGCCTGCCTGCCCGCGGTTTGGAAACGACGGCACCGCTGCAAAAATCCTCATTGTCCATATGAGGCACTTACGTAGGGCCTATTTCACACGTCAAAACGCTTTTGCGATTGGAAAATCTGCCTGAAATGTCATAATTTCAAAATATAAAGCAGTTTTATGAATAATAAACGTCATCACCAGGATCACGACAGTAACCTTGTTACTAGCCCCACTAGTGTGGCACGGACTCTCACTCCCGATCCGTCCTTAGCCACACATCCATATATGTGCAATTTCGGCGCACCCACTTATAGACGGCTGTTCCGTGTCAAGACATCTAAACTGCTGCCAAAGTTTTGGAAGAGCCCGTTGGTACACGTAGTATCTTATCGCTCAGTCCGTTTATTACATACATGTACATGTATTTCTTGACATGGAACAGCCGTCGAGACGATGAGGGGTCAAGTGACATAATGGTTAACGACCTTATTTTAAACATGGTGACTGAGAGAGCGAGCCTGTTAGATTGAATGGATAAAGGCAAAAAGACTGGAAAATACCCTTAATAATGTGAGTGAAATCATTCAATAAATGGTTTTTAGAAAACGAAAGGTCAAGGATCATGTTCGTGTGCAAAAGAAATTGCGCCCACGATGATAAGTGGGTGCGCCGAAAATGTTCAGTACGCCGACACGAAATTGTGCATGCGGATGTGTGGCTAAGGATGGGTCAGGAGTGAGAGTCCGTGCCACACTAGTGGGGCTACCTTGTTACATGTGTTACTTTAACTTCTGCCTGACTGGCGGCAAAACATAGCCTTGTAACGGTCGGATTGACCATTACCAGGTTCGGATGGGGGAAGAATGAGGATTCTTCTTGGCTCTGTGCTACATTTTGATTAGTTTGCTTATACTATATACAGAGTATGATTACACATGATGCGGCATGACCGAAGGCCTGCACAAAAAAGGACTGAAGCTACTCTAATCTTCCCATAATGCAATGGTCAAACTTAAGGTGAACCTGAAAGGACATGTAATCACATGGAATGTCCCCATGTAGGCCTAGGCCTTGTATTGAATTCCTTTATTTAGTTTCTTTGGTCCAAGCATGCGGCCAGGTGGTTGTAAATAAAACGTTGGACCACAGTAGGTGGAACACTGTTCTATTCTCCATAACCCTAGGCACATAAAGCATTTAGGCTTGGCTTGGCTTGGCTTGACAAAAGGCTTGGCGTGGACAACACAGCCTCCACTCTCCTTTCACGATGACAACACTGAGGCAAAAAAGTCCTTCCCAGTAGGCCTGCTGATGTCAAACTTTTGTTCTTCACGGCTGCGCGGGCTTTGGACATGTTGGAAACTGGTTTGATCAGTGTTTGTGGCGTTTGCCCCTCACAACCAAAGGGTCCATGTAGCCAAGTCCTAACTACGTTACATGTACATACATGACATACATGTACATGTATACATGTACCTTGTCTAAAGTTTGACGGTAACATTTAATTTATAATATATATGGATAATCCAAAAATTAGGGTGCATTTTTTATGCAATGTGAATTTTAGACAGAAAAATATCTCCATTGAAAATAATGTTTGACAATGCTGATTAAAAAACTGATTGCATAAGAAACCACAGCAGGCAATTCTCTAGACTCCTACCCCTTGACTTTGTAGGAAGCCGTAAGAGGAAGAGAAACACACTCAGCTGCACACCTGGCAGGTCGTGGATTTTGTCTTTAGCTGCTTTTGTGCCATCCCACCCATGAAATCCACGTGTGCACTTGAGGTTTCCCAGTGCGGTATCTGGTTCCACGCACTGGTCTTTTGTCTCTGTGTGTCCAATGCAAGGTTCTTTGTAGAAAGATGTCTCGGTACGAGCCTCGGTGCCAGTTATGTAACTTAACCCTAACCCTCCTCAATCCTTCACCTGTTGGAGGATTGAGGAGGGTTAGGGATAACATAGTATGGACAGCAGTACATGCATGAGCTCCTGGGCCAGTGCAGGGGCATGTATCCTGTTTAAGAAAATTGACTTGAATCAGTCTGTGCACATGCACTTTCTCAGTTTTCTGCTGTGGGATTAGCTGGCCTGAGATCTAGTTGTGATCAGCAGATACAACCGGAGTCTGTACAGATACCTGAGTCTTATATTCGCTGACAGAATCGAATGATGTTTTCAACAGATGACTGCAGGAACCGATAATCTGTAGGATGTAGACATGGTAGACATGTAAAGTACATGTATTTATATTTTTTTATTATGGTTTGAAAGTATGTAAATATTATTAGACTGTCATCACTTACAAGTCTGTTCAAAACTCTCAGGAGAAAATATTGATTCCTGTTAATTATGAGGTAGCTCTGATTTACAGTTTGTTCATGTCTGTCAAAATGCTGACATATCACTCATTCAACTCTGATCAAGATGAGGGATGGGCACAGTCAGTCATGACTCCCCTCATTTCATCAGACATGGTGTATTAATTCAATGTTATTCTCTTCAGGAAATGAGAACCCAGTAAATTCATCAACGCCAAATGGCTCGTAGGTATTTTGTAGAACCATGGTGTTTTAATTCAATGCTGTTCTCTTCAGGAAATAAGAACCCAGTAAATTCATCATCGTCAAATGGCTCGTAGGATTTTGTTGAACCAGCCTCATACATGCACATTTTATTTGCTTTACTTTTGCAGGGCCACTGGCTTCACCACCCGATCTGATATTGGACCTGCTAGAGAAGCAAATGACATCAGGTACGTAGATTTTTGTACAATTTATGGTGATGTGTTTTGAATTAGTCAGTGTGGATGTGCCTACCGTACATTTACTTGAAATGAGTATGGGGAACTGTTTTCTTATGGTGTGGATGGGCAACTGTGGAGAGAAGAATTCCATTTTGGAATATATCTGACTGTAAGCATTTCTGAGTGTCACGAACATCAAGAAGTTTACCCTGCTTTGAGGTTTCAACCTTGAAAAGAGGCATCCTTTTTGATCCCTCCATGAAATAAACCAATTGGCTCGCCCATGCACAACTTGTGTTGAAAGGTGGCATAATGCAGGCTATCATACATGTGGAGTTAATGTGCCTTACATATTGGCTTGCATTTTCACTCTGTCGCATTGCTTCCCAGAACAATGTGTCTACATTGCATCTGGACACTTTATGGGCATTGCACATTCATATACATGTACAATGGGAGCATCTATCATTTGTTGCTAATTATGCTTGTATTTCTTATGTACATGTACCAGTAGGCCTACTGGATATGCCATAGCTACAGAGAAAAAGGGTTACAAAAATCTAGTGCTAAATATATTAGCAGCAAACTTGAAGGACTTTTAACTTTAAATCAGCAGCAGGATTATGTTTGTATTGGTGTAGATTTACACAGTACGCTGGCCGTGAAGTTATTTCTCAAGTTCTGTTTTGGAAATCACAGTTACTATGGAGACCTTCAGAAAACTCTCAATATATACATGCTTTTACCAACAGCGATGACAGACATCCAGCTCCAAAAAAGAAGAAGAAAGATGACGATGATGAGGAAGAAGATCTGAATGATAATAACTACGATGAGGTAAGTGTACAGTGTAGGTCTGGAATGACTTGCTGGAAATGATGAATGAAGGGATTCAGAGGGTGACAGTTATTTTTTTTTTCTTAAAATTGTTCCTTTTGCCCCAGCTCTCCTGTGGAATATTGGGTCATGAACTATCTGTCTTTCGTCATTCATGATTCATTTCATTGTTCACCTTTACCCTGAGTTTCTCTCCTTCATAAATAGCTTTAACCTGGGGACCCTGGGTTGTGGCCAACTGTTGTTTCAGAATACATGTATGTATGAAAAACTGCCCTGGTTGTTGGTGTAGTGCCTGGCAACATTACCTATGTACTCTTGTGGGCATGTATGTAGTAGTAAATGTACGGTCACTTGGAGTGGCCTTGATGCATTTCGAGGAACAATTTATACTTACATGTACATGTAGCTTCTTGTTACTCTATCAACCAGAGGTATATGTACATGTACACATGTTCAAAATGTAGGAACTGCACTTTTGAATATGCAAAGGAAGCACTGTCTATCTTTTTACATGAACTACTTGTATAATGCACTGCCACAATTGCTTTTCTGTGCTAAATTTTTTATGGCGCTCTGTATTGTGAATTGTTCATGGGCGTAAATCGGGGGGGGGATTTTTTTGACCAGGGGATGGGATATTGAATCATCCTCTCACTCTTTGGTGGTGGGTAAAAATAAAGGATTGTGAAGAATTTGTTGGACTGCCCAACAACCAAAATATATTCAGTACCGCTCACAGAGGGAGCCCAATAAAACAGACCATAAGAATGCCATTCTGATGTAAGATACTGCAGGAACTTCAAACATATTGACCATGTAGATCTGTACCAAGAACCCCGCCCTCTCATTCCCGGCACAACTTTATGCCACTGGATTTCTTCCAATTGAGGTTGTCTCCATTTTTGTTAATGCCAATCTGTAACCCCAGTTTGCCGGCTATGGAGGGAGTTTGTTCAACACAGGACCCTATGAAAAGGACGACGAGGAGGCGGATGCAATATATGAAGCCATCGATAAACGCATGGATGAAAAACGCAAGGAGAGAAGGTACACTTAATAAAAACAAGAAACGCACTCCTGACTTTTCCAGTTTTTGCCCAAATTTTGTGAAATCAAATGTACATGTATGTGTTAGAATCCCCATTTTAGCCCAGTAATCTAATCTTTGTTTCATTTATAACAACAAAAATAAAACAAGTCAGCACCACCACTCTCAAAAGTGGCATTTACAGTTCAATAATTAACATGACTTCCATTCGCGTCAAGAACAGCTGTAATTTGCCACGTCATGGATCGACAGTAATGTTGCAGCTGGTCCTGTGGGATAGCAGCCCACTCTCCCTCCAGTACCGCCCTCAGCTGCTGTTATGTCTCTGGGGGATGATCTCGTTGTCAGATGTGACATACATGTATGAGCAAGCCCCACACATTTTCAATGGGGTTCAAATTCGGACTGAGAGTTGGCCATGGCAACACCTCGTCATCATTCTCCTCCAGGAAGTTGTCCTACTGGAACAGAGCATGACCCTCAACTCGCTCCATTAAGGGCAGTACAATTGGGTCCAGGATCTCGTCATGGTAGCCGGCAGCATTAAGGTTTCCTCTGATGAAAACCAAGTCAGTGCATTGATTGGCTGATACATATATGTCAGCCTAAACCATCACGCTTGGGCCAACCCAGCGGTTGACTTAGCGAACACAAGCATCAGAGTACTACTCGTGGCATCTCCTGAACACCTGCTCCTTGCCATCGGCCCTGAAGCACTGGAACCTCTTTTCATCATAGAAGACCACCTGTGACCATCTCTGCAATGCCCAGCGTTAGTGTGCTGTGCACCACTGGACCCGAGCCTGGCGATGTCGGTGTTTCAGCACTTAGCCCACGTATGGTCGAGATGGTCTGATCCCGTCAGCCCGGAGATGAGTCCTAATGGTTCTTGCACTCACTTGCCTTTGGTGTGTCCCTATGGTCTCAGCGGAAGTGCGTGTAGCGTTCTGGAACCTGTCACTGAGGTGGGACAGCTGGTTGGCACAGTCTTGGGCAGCGGTCGTGATATACTGAGATATACTGTACATGTACCTTCATGTGTGTATTGAGCACTGATTGTTTGAAATGGTGTTGCGTTGATAAACAATGTGCATTGTGGGTAACACTGGAATCCAGTGAGGTAGTAAACATGAAAATGGTGACCACTTGGTTCTGTCTTTTTTGCCATTTCAATATCAGTAAAATATTCCCAAGTTGCAAAAATGCTGCTATTGTGTAAAGAACAAACTAACACAAGGAGACTTCTGTATCACTGACATCGACAACAGTGATATTTGTATTGACAGAGCAGCACAGCTGGGAAGTTAAGGAACAGGCTACTGGTTAAATCATTCTCCTCCCAAAGAGGGAACGTTACATGGACGGTACTTGAACTACTTGTGACTCTGTAACTCCCGCAGGGAAAAGCGTTTCCGAGAAGAGATTGAAAAGTACCGTCAAGAGAGGCCTAAGATTCAACAACAGTTTTCTGACTTAAAGGTGAGTCTGTAATCAAAGGACGTAGCTAATCCAATGGTTTTGCCACACTCGTCGGTCAGTGATCAGGAGGAATGTTTGGTCATGGTTGAATAATTTGATATGACGTTGTCGGATGCTGAAAATCAAACTGCAGTGTTTTTAACAGGAACCTAGAGATGAATTTTTCTTTCACATGCTTTTTGTGCACGTTCATTCTCCTTTGTGTATGAAAACTACTTGACTTCCCCTTTAGTTAACTGTATTGAGAATTGCAAATGTTGAAAATATTTAAAAATCTACTCATGTTGGGCTTCTGTACGCGCACATGAGACCAAAACCACAGCTGTGATTGGTGGAGAGGCCAACGGGTGCAACTTGCATTGTATTTATACACAACAAATATATACTCCAACAAAATTGAAAAATTGTGTGCATTTTTTGTACACAAATCAATCTTTTTGAGCTTTTCCTTTCGGGATAGTATCACAGTCTCTCTCACACATATAGAAACGCTTGCGAGCATAAACCCCTAAAAAGGTACCAAAATGCCCCTTAAAACAAAAATGAGGAAAAAAAGCTTGATAGAGTCACATGTAGGTGCATTTTCATCGCATAGACACTTTAAAGCAGTGTTGTTTTTTCCATAATGTTTTCCTCAGCGAGAATTGTCAGTAGTGAGTGCAGATGAGTGGCTGAACATCCCTGAGGTAGGAGACTCAAGGAACAAACACCAGAGAAACCCACGAGCTGACAAGTAGGACATCTTCTTCCATTTCTTTCCTATTTCGTCTCTTCTGAATTCACAAAATAATGCTCTCGCCATAATCTAGGTTGGTAGGGCTAGCAGAAAATGCATTGTATGATGCAGTGTTCGTGTACCGGAATACTACCTACATGCACCATAGGAGTTGAGGTTTTTTGGCTGAAAATAAGCCAAGAGCCAGGCTTTTTCAGACTGTTTGAAACTTGGTAAGCGTACATGTATACATGCAAAACGGAAGTGAAGTGTTGATATTCCTTCCCTATTCAGGATCACCCCCATGCCAGACACCTTCCTGCAGAAGCATGCCATGAGCAACGAGACCATGAACACGCTGGATGCCCGGCAGCAGGCCCTGGGAGGGCTAGCCACCCCGTTCCCCGGGACCATGACTCCAGGAATGATGACCCCGACGGGAGAGTACGACTTGAGGAAGATCGGAGAAGCCAGGAACACACTCATGGATGTCAAACTCAACCAAGTCAGTTTGTCTCTCTGTGATCTCAGATTTTCCACTTGATATAAACATAAAATCAACAAGCTCGCTATCACCTGTTTTGTCTGAATATTTATGAAAAAAAAAACCCGTCACAGGCCTGCTCAGCTGGGACTTGAACCTATCTTTTTCTGAGAGCAAGAAACTGAGAAATGATGCCTGTACTGTAATACGTGAATATTTTCACTTCGAGGAATACTTTAGCAAGTCTGCTGGTAATCAAATGACCCCTCTTTAGACTCGTACTATTTAGAGCCTTTGTTGCTCCACCTAACCTGTAACACTAACAAATTGCAGCTACCAAATTTTCAGCTGAATGAGCACAACTGCCCACAAGAACAAAAGTACTTGAATATACCATATTTGCATGGTGTTGTGTCATGTGTCATGGGTGGTTTATCTCAGGGGGCAGTTTGTAGCACAGTCACTGGTTGTGTCTAAATCACCTGGCTTGCCTAGGCATTCCATGCACGTCTGTGATAGTGGCTACAGCTGCTGGCAAGTGCCTTCCCATTGGTGCATGTATTGCAGACAGCCACAGCCATAACTTTTGTTTACAGCCTATCATGCAAGCAAAGCGATTCCTATCCCCCAACTTGCATTATATTCTTCACCTTGACTGCAGGTATCTGACTCGGTCAGTGGTCAAACGGTCGTTGACCCCAAAGGTTACCTGACTGATCTCCAGAGCATGCTCCCATCCTACGCTGGCGATGTTGCGGATGTCAAGAAAGCCAGACTCCTGCTGAAATCAGTGCGGGAGACGAACCCCAACCATCCCCCAGGTATTTTTGGCTTTGATGTTTAGACCCACATGTATTTGCCCAGAAGGGGCTGTGTTCTTGATAGCAATAGCAAAATTTGAGGTAAATTGGCAAAAACAAACAATGCAAACAGTACTCTGTGCCATATCCATGTCTAGCAGCCAAGAAACTACCGGTAATGCATTTGTTACATTTTACCACTTCTTCCATTTCAAATTTATTTCCTGTTAAGCTCCTTTCTTATAGCAAGTGATGTTTTTCTTCTCGTTAACCTCATCTGAGAGTTGATTGGAAAAAATTAGAGAAGGGGTTTGTTTAACTTCATGCAAACAACTCAAACATTACTTATCATTTTGGACGCATCCAAAGGAGTCATTAAATGTTGACAACAGTAATTTCCAGATCAAATGCAACTCATGGCCTAATTGCAAAAAGCAATTGCACAGAAAATCCAGCTCAGTCAATGACATTATGTGGGTAAAAAACTGTCAAGGGTTGGCAATGAGATTGCAAGGTGCGTTCAAAAGCCTTAAACTCAAAATTGGCTTTGGCAACTTGTGACTCATTTTGTAAGATCAGGTCACGTAGTGGGATCTCCCTGCATGTCATGGGTTTTTTCTTGGTCTTGACTAGCTTGGATTGCCTCCGCTCGTCTGGAGGAGGTGACAGGCAAGTTACAGGCAGCTAGGAACATCATCATGAGAGGCTCTGAGGTGTGTCCTCGTAGTGAGGATGTATGGCTGGAAGCTGCTAGACTACAGGTCAGTTGAAGTACTGAAGGTTTTCGATACCCTGATAGTCTGTTCCGTGAACACAGTCACAGTAAGTCACAGTGCTACATGTAACTACATTAGCACTGAGAATGGCATGATACGATGTAGACTGTACCTGTACATGTAGGTGCATATCAAATATTAAATTGTACATGTAACTAGCTATGCTGTGAACTTTAATGTTTGTTGTCACTTGACCTGTAAGTTGTTTATTCTGCAGTGGACATTGTTACTGGATTCTTTGAAAGTTCATGTGAAATTTTAACACCACTATATTGATTTAAATATTTGTAACTGATGGTTGTGCTGTTATGCAAAACATTTTTTGTTAAGGACAATTTAATATTTGATAATTCCTATAGAGTACCCTGGTGACTACGTCATGTGCATGGTTATGTGTGTATTAAAAGGCATCAGCATGAGCCAGTGCGTGAAGCGTCACCAGTGCATGGTCTATTCTTTTGCACTACATTTGCTGGTTCAAAATGATTTTACACTTGGGTACTCTATATGGATATACAATTCTGTATATCCATTTAATCCAATAAAGTTGTGGTGGCTTTACTGTCTAGTCCTGAGGTTTTCTGGAGATTTCCAAAGTATGTTATTTTGATTTGTATAGTATTTATTTCATTCTGTCACAGGTATTCCTTTGCTGATACATACATGTATGGTTTGCCAAAGTAGTATACCCTACTTGCAAATGTTGCCATCATGTTCACTGTATGTCCTGTCTGCTTTAGGTTTTCATGTGCTCTAGGTACCTGTATGAAATAGAATTGGAAACAAGAATGGATTTGAAACAGGAATTATAAAGTGATATGGCACCGGCATCAGGCATTTTCAGTAGCAGGTGGAAACGTTTGCCTTAACATCTGATTCAGCAGCTGATAACTGTTGTCATGCAAGTGGGGAAGTCTACCATTTCCTGAATCAGCTTTCTATCTCATCCCCCTCCCCTCAGCCTGGGGATACCGCCAAAGCTGTGATTGCCCAGGCCGTCAGGCACCTACCCAACTCAGTCAAGATCTGGATCAGAGCAGCAGACCTGGAGTCTGAGACCAGGGCCAAGAGAAAGGTCTACCGAAAAGGTGAGGGTGATTGAGAATGTTTGGGGGCAAGAAGTCCAACTAAAAGGTACTCATGGCACCAGAGAACAGAGTACTAAAAACAGGCGAAAAATGTTTGATACTTGTGTACAATGAATGAGGAAGAAATCATATGCTGGTGTAGAGCAGAAATAGTCTTTGGTACTCTTGCAGCAGAGAAATAGAGCTGTGTTCAGCCTTTAAGTGAATGGGCTTTCTCAGGGGATCAACTAGAAACTAAAGTGTAAGCCAGAGTTGGAAGCAAACCTGAGAGTTGAGAGAAAAGCAAGATATTGGTTCAATTTGTCCGTCTAAACCGTCTCATTGTTTTCCCCCATCTAGCTTTAGAGCACATTCCCAATTCTGTCAAGCTGTGGAAGTCAGCCATTGAGCTGGAAGGACCAGAAGATGCCAGGATCCTACTGAGTAGAGCTGTGGAGTGTTGCCCCTCGAGTGTGGAGGTATCAGCTACTCAGTGCAGCAGAATACAGCAGGAATCAATTGTGTTTCTAATAATGGCATGCGGCATTTAAAGTGGTCGGGAACACTGTATTAAACTGCTTGTTATAGGGGCAGATGTTTATTCAGTTCTTATAGAACACCTGACAGGTGTTACGGTTGAGTAACCCAAGTAAGTTGTGACTAGCTGTGTTATGGAGTAGCAAAGACTTTCTAGGGGATCTGAGAAATTATTGAAATGAGTTGAAGATATTAGATTTGGATTTCATGTATGTTGTCTTGCTAATGCTGCTGGGCCAACACACAACATTATATTTGGCAGGAGATCTTACTCACAGGGACGACATATTCATTCATGTTTCCTGAATCGGTCGATTTAAATGTAATCTATTAAATGGAATTTTGCCAGTCTGTTTTTGATTGTAAGACTTACTTTCATTTTTTTTATGTGACTTAGAGCATTTAAGATATCAAACATTTCAAATTATTTATCTGTGTGAACAAGCATTAATTTGTAATGACTTTTTATTTCATTGCTTTCATTCATTTTTTTTACTTGCGTGTTTCCAAAATGAAAAGTTCACCTGGCTTTCAAATGAGCCTGGCAGACTCATGAATAAAGACTATTGACCTGTCTCTCCAAGATGCTGAAATTTCAGAGGATGATTCTGTTGAATGGTTATATATAATTTAATTTTGCAACTCTCTGTATTTGCATTGACAGTATTGTTTGGTGGTAAGATGCCCATTTCACAGGATTCATGTCGTACAACATTACAGTGTTATATTCTATGGTGCTTCCCTATTTTCTCATCCTTGTAGCTGTGGTTGGCCCTTGCCAAACTTGAGAACTACGACAATGCCCGCAAGGTGCTAAACAAGGCCAGAGAGAACATCCCGACGGATCGAAAGATCTGGATCACGGCTGCCAAGTTAGAAGAGGCAGAAGGCAACCATGCTAATGTCGATAAAATCATTGACAGAGGTGAAAAAAAAAATTAAACCCTGTAAAAGTGGTTTTAGGTAGTTTTTACCCTCTCACAGTTGAGAGAAGGCATATTCTGTACCTTCCAACAGATGTCAACGGCAATTTTTGAAAGCTTAGCATGCATTTCAAATTTGTTCTATTCGTTCACCTGTGAAGTTGGACAAAAGAACTGTTGTTATTGTTCTTCACAATTGGATACATTTTGGTCTATGCATGAGGACATATCCATTCTGCATAATCAGTGGTAAAAGTTAACAGTTTTGAGTGCCTGCGTTTGAAACAGGATTATTTTATGCGAATAGTGTGTCTACGGTATATGGAATTGAAGGTTGGGCTGTGGCTTTCTTATTGTCAAAAAAAGCCTGCAAAACTGTTTGGATTTCAAATTTTCCATTCAAATCGTCACTGGTCCATCACAAGGCATCCGGTCTCAAGCAAATCCAAATGAACTGTGAGGTAACTGTTCCATTTTCACTGCTCACCCGGCTGTTTGTGACTAGGCCTGTGACTGGCCTCGAGCAAGGACATGTGGTGGACGCTACTACAGCCCTGATATTTTGAGGCGGCAAAAAGTGGAGTCAACTTGTATCTCATGATAGATGCTAGTATTTTGGAAAGTGTTCCGAATTGAATCCCTTCAAATGCTACCAATAGTTCCATTTCAACCGTTCTTTTTATCCAGCTCTGACATCCCTTCGAGCCAACATGGTAGAGATCAACCGAGAGCAGTGGATCAAGGATGCAGAGGAATGTGAACAAGCCGGCAGCATTGTCACCTGCCAGTCTATCGTGTGAGTCAGTCAGGGGGCAGACTGGATTACCTCACCCCCTTGCATAGCACTAGCATTACCTTTAATTACTCCCAAGCCCCTCAGACTCCAGTAGTAGGTCTTGTCAGGTTTTGGCTGTTATCAAGACCGTAATTTATGGACTTGACATTTTACTCTGTTGGATTGTTGAACGAAGGCCCTAGGTTGGTGGTATTGGATTTGTTGATGTAGAGACACATAAGGGCCGTTCTTTGCAGTGACTACTAGTGTTCTGTGTTGGATAGTGCTTGATGTTGTCAGATTCGGTACAACTGCTGTATTAGTTACCTCTTTGCTGCATAGAACTTCCACACCAAGTGATTCAAAGTTCAACAATGTTGACCTGTTGGAGCATCACAGGTTCTGTACAGTCATGTGCTGGTCTTTATAGCAACCCACTTGCATGTGTTGAAATTTGTTAGGTGTACTGTCTCTGGCTCGATGGCTTAGGAGGTGAGGGTTTATTGGATAGCTTTTCACAACTATGGCCAGAAGCATGGAAGGCATCTAAAGGACTGAGCTTACATCAGTGGAGGCTCAGTGATATAACTGCTTCCCTTTTTGTGCCTGCCCTGCTGTGAAATACAAAGTTCATGAAGCACAGATTACCACAAGAAGACTTGCTTTAAAAAAAATGGCCAATAAACAACAAACTAAAAGAATATAATGAAAAAGGTCTCATTCCTAACACTTTCAGTGTGGACTCAGTCGGAGACCGGTAACTGAAGAGACTGTTCATGGGCGTAAGATGGTCCTTTACAAACACAAATAATTTAGACCTTTATTTCATCTTTTATTGATTCAATGTGTGGTTTGCATTACTGCCGTAGACGTGCCGTGATTGGCGTTGGGATTGAAGATGAAGATCGGGAGACAACTTGGATGGATGATGCAGACAGTGTAAGTAGGCACATCGGTCTGAACGGTTGAAACCCAACAATTTTCATTCTGCTCTTTACACACATGGAGTGTATTAAAACAAAATGCTTCATTAGCATCCGTGAACTTGAAATCTACATGTACATGTGGGCTAACTTTATGGGCTAGTTTGATCCCACGGATCTGGATCGTGATCTGTCATTGGGTCACTGGCACCAGAACCTGCCTAATGGCTGTGGCCAGTGCTTGTTTTCAAGCAACTACTGCTGTACCGTTTTGATGGAGCTTTAGACTGTGTTCAAACTACTCGGCTGCCCCTCAAAATAGCCGACAACCCTGGGGGAAATGGCTACGCAACCACTATGAACTCTTGCATAATTTGAAGCAGCAGCAGCCAAGCTGCTCAGACATGGTCTATACTTGAAGAATCTTTTTCTGTTACAGTGCGCTGCTCACCACGCCTATGAGTGTAGTCGTGCCATCTATGCTCACTCCCTGACGGTCTTTCCAAGTCGCAAGAAAATCTGGCTGGAGGCAGCGTACTTCGAGAAGAACCACGGATCTAGGTATGTAACGTTTTACGTTCATATGACGTGCAACTGTAGCCTGCCATGGACTCTTCGCATTCTTACACCTTCAGTTTTGAAAGTGTTGTAATCAGGACGCAGAATAATTATGTAAGCAGGGAGTCAGGTTGGTGTGGTGGTACTTTGCTTGCCTTTCGACTGTGCAGCCTGGTCTCATTGAGGTTGGCATGTAGACTTGGTTTTCAGTCCCTGCCTAATTCCGTGAGTTTTCTTTGATATAATTATGTGGACTTCTTCCCACCTCTAAAATTTAGCATTTCTTTGTTTTTCTTCTTCATTGTCACGCATAATCATCCTCTAATTGGCGCTTTTTACCATGATTTATTTTCTGTTGAACAAACAGGTTAATAAAATAGAAAACAGTATACCACGCTAACCTTGACTGTTTGGACCGTACATCTTGTGTGGCAATGAGCTCTCTCATTTTGTGTTGTGTGCGTGCTGTCTTGCTGAGTGCTCAACTCTCACATGTTGAGAATAACGTCATTCTTCTGTCATGGAAGTGTTTAAATCCAACCGTTTTCCCCTTTCCAGGGAATCCCTAGAGAGTCTCCTTCAGAAAGCCGTGGGTCACTGCCCCAAGGCTGAGGTCCTCTGGTTGATGGGAGCAAAATCCAAGTGGCTGTCTGTGAGTACATCTTTGCTTGTGGAATGTCAAGCCCTTTGTAGCTGTCAGTTGGTGTTGTGGATACCCCTCAGTACTTCAGGAAGTTTGTGTTTCAGAATGTCAGTACATCAGGAAGATCAGAGTGGGTTAAAGACATCTTATTGTTTAGAGTGTTTGAAGCACCAGTGACAACAGAGGGGAGTCCTTTACCCCAAAGCACACCCTTCCCCCATTACCGCTTCCTCCTCCATGATTAAGTGGACCAGATGAGGTGAAGATCCCCTCTTGGATACATGTATATCAGCCCAAAGTGCATTCTTGCACACACTAGTCATAAGTTCATTGGTAATATCTTGGTACGGAGGCCCATCAGGGGATGGGGTGGAGAAACCAGGTATCCTCCCCCTTTTTGATGGGGGATGGAGAATGGGACACTGAGCCCCTTCCACTTTGTGGTTTTGAGGGCCAAAAGGAGATTGTGAGGTTATTTCGAAACCTTTAGTGTAAATGCTACATGTGCTGTGGTTAAGTCGTGTAAATATGCAAGCGCACATAAGATGTGCATCTGTGTCACACAGAGCACCTCCAAGTTTTTGGTGATGTCTGGCCCCTCCCCCTCAATTTCCTTCGCTGGGTAGTTTTTAGGATTGAAGTCGTTGTAATACTCATTAGCATGGATTCCCACCATTGCAGATTCTTCCATTCTCTGAATTTCATCGTTGATTTTTCCTGTTGTCACTCTGAAGGGCGATGTACCTGCTGCTCGTAGCATCCTGGCTTTGGCCTTCCAAGCCAACCCCAACAGCGAAGAGATCTGGCTGGCGGCCGTCAAGCTAGAGAGCGAGAACAACGAAGATGAGAGAGCACGTCGCCTGCTGGCCAGGGCCAGGAACAGTGCCCCCACAGCCAGGGTATGTCAGGATTGGTTGTCAAAGTGCTGGCTGTGACCTGCTCCCAAAAAGAATGAATTCTATGGTCATTTTGGGTCAGTTATTTTGCTGTGGTTTGCTACGGAGAGAGCGGACTGATTTCCTTGGTTTGATTTGTCACTCAGTTTGGCATCCCAATAAAAATTGATTGTGTGTAGATGGAAACTGTTGGGGAGGGTCCTGTTGACTTCCACTGCGCGAGATTGGTCACACAACACAAGTGGTGTTGGGACTTGACTCATTTTTGTAGAATGGGTTTTATTTATAATTTATGTGCAAGACCATGGAATACAGTATTCATGGCTTGGGTGTTGCTATTTTAACTGGAGGTGCCACGTGTCTCTTAGCTTGTCTCAGATTCTAAAAATCTGTAATTTGAGCCGAATAGTACAAAATTGAAGTATTCAATTTGGACGGAGATGTTAGCCAAAGAAATTATTGAGAGAACTTACTTCTACTGGCTTACATATGATCCATTTAAATTGTTGATTTGCCTTAAAACTGCGCCCCAGAACACAAGTAATGCCCCAATGGTTTACGTAATGCAAATGCGTTCATCACCTTATAAGTGCATAGGGGCGAGATTTGTCAGGATTTTCCCTGATTTCAAGATTTTTCCATCAGGATTTTCCTGATTTCAGGATTTTTCGAACAATCTCATTCAAAGCCTTGAAATTCCTGAGTTTGCCAGTTAATGGTGTTATATTGATGTAGAAATTGGTAATTAAGGGGTGCCTATAAACAAATGTATACCATAGACCCTGTTCTGCTGTGGGGCCCTCTAACTGTCTGGTGGTTATTTCCCACCAATGTCATCCCTGCTGGCACATCTGATGCTTGTCCAGATATGTTTACATATGTTTATATGTGGCATGTTGTGGTCATGTCATACATTTGTCCATCCTCATGCAGTCCCTCATAATTATACGGTATCTGCCCAGGTCTGGATGAAATCAGTCAAGCTAGAATGGCAACTGGAATCCATTGACAGAGCCAGACAGCTGCTGGACGAAGGAGTGAAGCACTATGCTGACTTTGCCAAAGTGAGTAGCAGTTATGGCCCAAATCATTTGGGACTGTGCAAGTGACTGAATGGCGCCAACAGCCATTTCAACAGGTTACTTGGGCTTGTAAGAAGGCTAGAAAAGTGGCTGTGATTCTAAGGCCTGTATTCTCCTGAAGAAGTAGGCTCTCACACATGGTACTTGATTATTTGTGGATGACACTCTTATGGACTGAGATAAAGTGTAAAGCATTACTGGAACATTATTTTAGGGATCATTGTATATTAAGCTATACTTTTTCTTTAACATTGCCCTAATTGTCTGTTGTTTTGGTATTTGTGGCATACATGTACATGTACCTGATATCCGCCCTGCTCTTCAGGTTTTATTACCTCTGTAGGACCTTATTTATTTTTGTATTTCTTATAATATGTCAATATCTTTATCACCACAAACATTCTTCAAAATGCATGGTTCAAAATGCAAAAAATTATAGCATATTACAGTTAAATGCCATTTCTTTGTGCACCCATAATTAGATGTGTTCCTGTGATGCCAAGAAATTACATGTTTGTACACATTCAGTTGAAAATTTGAACTCGGACATGCTCTGTGTGATCCATGTTCAAACTATTGTTGCTAGTATTACGTTATAATTGATGATAGGATCACAAAATGAACAGAGGATGTAGTCTTGTCACAAGTCAATCTTTGCTTGAAAACACAGTTGCCTGGCATGCAAGCGTGTACATGGCCATTTGGTCTTATTTACAAGTCAGCCATCTTAAATCAAAAGCGAGGCGATCGCTGTGAAAATCTTCCACATTTGTAATGTGTCTGAACGAAGATGATACAACAGGTGCAAATTACAGATTATCCAGCTTTGTGCTCCTATGCTTAGTTCAGCATTATGGATTAAAGTCATTTCACCTGTTTCCCAGATGAAAAGCATTTGTCAAAGCCAGGCTGTGTTCATAATTCCGACAAAATAGTCAGGCGCCTTCCAATTCCAGAGAGTAGATTCGAGGATAACCTGACCAAAAATGGCGGACTTGTGGATAAAACCCATGGGAGAGTGCTGGACCATTTCCAATTGACTTGGCTGCAGCTTGAAATTACGCACCAGTCAATGGTTGTGGCTTCATCCACTTCTCACAGAGTTATGCATAATTTTAAGCTACAGCCAAGTTATCCGGTCATAGCTTTATATAATAGGAGCAAAGGAACTTCCAACGTTCTGCCCCAAGAGGTACGTGTGTATTGTGTTTGCAAGTTTTGCATGCCATGTATTCCTCTGAAACTGTCTAGAGTGAACCATGCAGCACCACTTTGCAGGGGTCCCTGACTTCCCTTTGGTGACATCTGCACATTCAAAACACAGTCTTGTATTTTGTTGCTGTCTTGCCTCTGCAGTTATGGATGATGCGTGGTCAGATTGCAGAGCAACTTGGAGACAGAGAAGAAGCCAGAAAGACATACCAGCAAGGAGTAAGTATTAACTCTGGTTTAAATTGTATCAATTACAATACAATATAATGATACTACTTTTTTTGATAGAGTGTCTGTGTGAACAATACACAATAGAATCATTTAGAGTATAAGTTAAAAGAAATAAATATCTTTATACAAATTTTGAATAAATGAGATGTATGCAAGGGACCGAAATAGGTGCAAAAACTGCTAAAACTGTCACTTTATCGAGAAACAAGAACTCTCAAAGAGACATGTTAAAGTATTGAGTCACTAATTGTGACAGAACCAACGACATGTACTCTGATAGCAAAACCCCTACTCCTAAAGCGTACTTACCAGGACCCTTCCTGAGTCCTCTGAATGCTTGCCCAGTGTCAGAGCCAGCGGTCATTCTTTGCAGTTGAAGTGCCTGAGGGCTCAAGCTTCAAGGAATAGTGTGTGGGCTCTACCTTCATCAGTCCTGCAAAATCCTTCAAATCTCTTGGTGGACTTAGAAGGGTCTTGGAAGGTTTTGGGCCAAGGCTCTGCATATAAATGAAGTGTTTTATCGTCAGAACACTCTCGAGTGTTGCACCAAGAACACTGCTTGTTCCATTGAAGCTCTAGTTAGTAGCTGTCAACAGCTCAGAGGAGAGTGAGGGGTGCACTGGGAACTCCCATTTAGAACTCAGAAATGTCCAGATCCTTACTCAGCGTGGCTTCCCGGGTGTGACAGTTGCTTGTTCATTCCCTCCTCCCCTCAGAGGAAGAAGTGTCCCCATTCTGTGCCTCTGTGGCTGCTGTCCTCCAGGCTGGAAGAGAAGGTGGGTAACCTGACCAAGGCCAGAGCCATCCTGGAGAAAGCACGGCTCAGCTGCCTGCACTGCCCAGACCTGTGGTAAGTGCTAACATTTTCCCAGCTTCATCGCACCCTATGCTCCAGAACCATTTGGAAGCGTGCGAAGGTGAAACCAATTGAAATTGCTGTGCACTGTGTCCTCAGGTTGGGTAATTGACGTTGTTTGTAATGAAACAGTTACAGACAGTACTAAAGTAGAGGGTCCTCAATTATAGTGTAAAATCGTCATGATGAAGCCGCAAGACAATGCCATGGGATGTTAAAATCAAGATTTTGACACCTTTTCCATGTAGAGTTTCCTTTCACTGTGCATCTTAACATGTAAAAAAGTTTGAAGAACAGTGAGACTCATTTCTCTGAAGAGAAGCTGTTTTGTGCAAAATATCCATGCCTCATAGGTTTTCCAGCTTGGCACCTGGACCCTACATCAACATTGAGCAATCCAACAGAAGTTGGTGGGTTGCTTAGTTCAGCCTGAGTCAAGTGCAAGTGAATATGTTCAAACAAATGATGTTTTCCTACTAAAGAGACAGTGCTGCCATATAAAACACTCATTGGAGCATACAAAAATCCTCATTTTTTGCCGTTGAAAGAAATGCCTTGCTTCTCTCTGTCGCAGTTTTGTCACAGTCTAGTTACCCCTGCCCTCTTGTCATTGCAGGCTGGAAGCCATCAGGGTCGAGTCCAGGGCCAGCAACAAGGACATGGCCCTGTCTACCCTGGCACGGGCCATGCAGGACTGCCCAGCCTCGGGCATCCTGTGGGCCGAAGCCATCTTCCTGGAAGCCAGACCACAACGCAAGACTAAGAGCGTGGACGCGCTGAAGAGATGCGAACATGACCCACACGTCCTGCTGGCAGTGTCCAAGTAGGTAGTCTCCTTTTGTCACTCAAGGAACCATGTCATGCTTAAATAAATCGCAACAAATTTTCTTGTGGGAGTGCTTAAGTGCTGTTAAAGAAGAAACCTGTCCCCACTAGAGACAGCCATGCCTTCCCTTGTCCAAACACATCCCAAGTGGGTTGCAAGCCGGAAGACTCTGGGAACAGTGTTGGCTCTGGAAACAACTCAGTCAAGGGGAGGATTCTAAATAGAATAGGGAGGTTCTCATTCTTTGGATGAACCTTTTGCAAATGCTCAGAAACAGCAGTACAGTGCTTACGAGTACCATGTACTTGTGGCCCAGTGATTCCCCGTATAACGAGATGACTTTTCAGTTTTGTGCGCATTCAATTGACAATTTCTGACACCTGTTTCACACTTTATGTTCATGTGAACTGGTGCATCCGTTCTCTGCTCTCAGAATATGCAGAGTGCATACAGTCACTGTCTGTTTCGAAACCTGAATACTTTTCCCCCGTCCTCTGAAGGCTGTTTTGGAGCGAGCGTAAGATTGGCAAGGCCAGGGAGTGGTTCAACAAGACGGTGAAGATTGAGCCTGACCTTGGTGACGCCTGGGCCCACTTTTTTAGGTTTGAGATACAACATGGCAATGAGGCAAGTACACTTAGACAAATGCCAGAAATACTTTCCAGCATATCATAATTACTGGCAGTGAATTTTAGCATCATAATTGGAAGTAACATGTCACTGTGTTAAATTGGATATATGAGTAGTTTTTCTCGTTTTTTCATGTCTATTCTTCTGATGTACGCTGTGTAAACATGGTGTAGTCCCCTCCCCAACAAAAATACAGAATAGTTTGCTATGATAACTATTAAATAATACAAGAGTTAATGAATTTGTCCAAAAAACCTGAAAACATCACGAGGAAGAAAGCAAAATGATTCACACTATTCAAAGTCATGTTTTTATCTCAAAATGTAATGAAAGAAAGTGAATCCGATCCACTGTTGGTTTAGAACTGTGTCCCATGTAAGGACAGTTCTATTTTGTGCACATTTTGATGAAAAGTGGCTACATTCAAAATACCACTGGTATGCACATGTAGTCCACAATATAAAACATATTTTAGAAAATCGTAATACACCGCCATGCAGGGCAGTGATCCATTTGGCACACATTTCAGTCTTTATACCGAGGTGTTGTGGAACTTGTTTGGACTTAGATATGGGCTCGACATGCAAGTACTTGAGAAGTGAGAAAGCTCAATGCTTTGTAAAGGAAATGGTTCCGTGCATTAGCTGGCTGCATACAAAAGCGTGCACAAATGGAACCCAGTGGCTAGCTCTTTCCCATACATGTAGGTGCATGTTTTAAGTTCCAGTCACAGCCAGTTGAATTGGACACAGGCTTAAGAGTCGTGCAATTTCTTTAATCCTCCTCCCAGGAGCAGCAAGAATTGGTTCGGAAGCGCTGCGTGGAGGCGGAGCCTCGGCACGGCGAGCTGTGGTGCAGCGTCTCCAAGAACATCAAGAACTGGAGGTGTAAAACCAACGAGATTCTCCCCATGGTGGCAAACGCAATCAGCATTGTCTTCTAGACAGGTATTCACTGGACATAAGCACGATTTCCGAAAGTGTGCTTAAAATAACATTGTGGGATTGGAGTTATATTCAGGGTCGACACTCATGCCATTTCTAAGCACACTGTCTGTGATTGGTCATTCTATAAATTTGGTGTCCACTTTTTTTCTTCCATCTTTATTACATTACAAGTAATTTAGGAAATCCTTAATATATGGAAATTCCTTGTTGCTTTCATAAAGAGCGATGGTGCAGATGTAAAGTGAAATACCAACCCAACGAGCCAATGTTAATTTGCATTCATTTGCGGCAATATATTGACTGCCAAAATTGTAGGAATTTTTAAGTGCACAGCACTGCCCCTTCTATGAAATCTAAATTAGGAAGTGAAGCTTGCATCGGATTATATTATAGTTATTTGTATACTTACTATGTTTTGTTCCAGAAATCCAGAAAGAGTTCATCGTAGCTTTAGACGTTTTGCATGACTGTATGCATGCACCCTGTCTCAGTTACATTGGTTATTGTAACGACCGCCTTAAATTTAACAGATTAAAATAAGTGTGCATATACATGTACTTGCAGTACGTGATTATAGAAAAATTAGAACATAGTACATGCACAGTTACACTAACTTCAAGCGATTCATTTAAGAATTGTTGACTGCTGTGGCGTGGGATATGAGGGTGCCATGCATGCCCGACGGTGTTCAAGACGTCATATCCCACACTGCAGCGGTCAACAATTGTTTTGTCATACCTCTGTCTTAAGGAATTTGTCCAAAGAAACAAGCTCTGTATTTCAGAAGACGATGGGCTTAGTGTAAAACTGTACAATTAACGTAACAGATGTAAATGATAACGTTTGCAAATGCACTGTCCCCTCACTTTTGGTGATTGTGTAAACTCTTATATGAAACTAATGTGGGTACCAGTGAGTACATTTATATAGTCTGGTTAGCGGTCCCTTCATTACTCTATACGCTGCAGGGACGGGAACGAGTCTGTTATACGAGTACAATCATCAACCGAATTCCCTGGTAGCCTTTGCATAAAACGCATTATAGGTACCACGCAAAACTAACTAATGAACCGCAAATGTTTGTTCTCGAACTTCCCGAAGCTCTTCTATTTCGCACATGTACACGTGTGCGTGCACGCACCATTGGTAGAATGAAATGTCTCATGGTGAGTGTGATATGCAGATACGTTGCCCTGTCATGTGATCGTTCTTGGCCAATAAACGGACAGTATCCAAGCAAGAGGTATGACAAAAAACACTATCCCCCTGTCGTACCCTGAATTTATAGAATCACTCTTTTAAACCAGTAAATTATCTTGAGAAAGCTGCATGTCTCCAACAGTCACCCCATCCATCTGGCTACCCCCCCCATATTTCCACAGCAGCATTTGCTTTCACATTGAACCGGAATACGGAATACAGAAATAATGATGTTCCACTGAGAAAAGTGAAGTTCTCTTTGTCAATTGGAAGGATAATTCTTTTTAATTACTTCCTTTTTACATAGACTAAATCTAGTCCTCTGTTGTAGACATTTGCAGAAGAAAAGCATGTTCATCAAGAAGCCTTTACACGCACAGGTGACAAGAACACAAAGCCCTAGACTGGTTACTCTGAACATTCAATTACCGTAGACAGTCTTCTTAAGATCGAGCCATCTTTACACAACATACTGTGTACAGCCACTTTGTTTATATAATAGCATTTATGTATTTTTTTTTCACTTTTGTGACAACCTTGTGACCATAATTTAGGAGGACAACTACTGTGGTTACAAAAGCGATATTACATTTTTAGGATAACAGCATCGTGGTATTGTATTGTAATTAGTATAGGTAGACGTGCTCGGTAAAAAAGTACAAATTTCACTCTCACATGGGTAATGATATCTACAGTCACCTTTGTATCTTGAGAGGAGGCCACAGCTATCTGAAGCCTTGTAAAGTGTCCTGCTCTGTGGAAATAGTTCAAACATTTCAAATCAACTTTTTGTGTGTTAAACATCTGTAATTACATTTGGATGCAAGAATAAACACTTGGCATCACCTCACATAATGATCAATTCTTTTCTTCAGTGATTGTTTTCTATGATGAGACACTTGAAACCTTCGCTTTGCTGTGTAACAAATAAAGATATTCAAATAAAGATATATAAGTTGAAAGTTCATGTTTTACCAGATAAACACCACATTGTACAACACCTTACTGGTACCACTGAAACCATAATGTGAACTACAACAGCATAGCTGCACCAGACTTTTTCTTGAAAATCAACATAGACAGCCTGTAAAAAAAAATGTGCTGTCTGCCAAGCCTGTCTGGAGCAGGTTTATAATTAAGAAAACAGTCTCAGCTGCAGTAACTAGGAAATCATATAAATGTATACTGCATTTAAAATTCACTTCGCTTCTTTAACCCCTTCACGCCGTAAAAATTGAGATCCTCAGCCAGCTTTTCAGCTATTATTCTCGGCCCACGCTCAAGCGAACACGGTGAAAGAAGGCAGACCCTGGCTCTTGTGTATATGGTAATTGGTCTTTGTGTGTAGCCCAGAAATGAAAAGATCGAATTTGCATCATAATCACCAGCTTCACAATAGTCCCCACTTTGAAAAGAGGCAACGGGAATGTGGAAGCTTGAGTAGAGCTGCATGCCACCAAACAATCAGCCTTTTCACCGTGTAATTCAAAGCGTGCAGAGCAAACACAAACCGAGAATTTACGGTATGGCAGGTGGCCTTCGTGGCCAAGGGAGGCTGGAATTCTTGGAGTCGGCTTTCGGAAAGAAATTCCCGCCGAGAAGAAGTTAAGAACAGTTGTTTACTTCACGTTAGTTCTATATAAATGTTATGAGATTTAATTTAAAAACTGGCACTCAACACTAAATCTAGTGGAAAATATCACAGACATTCTGACTAGTTGAACTTTGTAACAATGCAGCAAATACTAAATGTGCAGAGTACAGGAATTTGTTTCTCCAAACAGTTGTAAACTTCAGATGATGAGACGTAAGTAAAAGCACTCAAGTTAAGATTCAGATGTTAAATTTTAGTATTTTTCAATACATTGTAAAATCACTTTTTTTCCCCCACTACCGGCAGTCCCGTTGCATTTAATGTCACATCTGCAGTGTAATCCTTTGTGATATGACATGTTTTATATCAGAGTCAGTGATTATGACTTCATTCATGGCCATAGTTATGCTGCAGCTAATGGCTGTACATTATCTCATCACAGCTTGAAAAAAAAAGATAATTACGGTATGATGAGGTACCATACTTGTGACACTACACTCTGAGCCCTCTTTCATATGTCAATATCAGTTGGCGTTCTAGGCAAGCTTTGTAACCTTTGGAAACAGTGACTCTGCTTGATGGTGTGTAATGAACACCCATTGCTCTAAGCCGTTGTTAGAGCATTCTAGAATGAGCTGGCTACAAAACGCCAGGGGTACGTGAAATAGTGGGCGCATTCAGGCACTAACTGTAGCTGGACCACTCACCAGTTACTTTTGAACAATGCGCACATGCTGTACAGCTGTGCTGCAGTGATCTTGGTTGAACTACTGAATGTTCAAACTGTAAAATCCCATCATCACTGGAACTGTATCTTGCTGTTGGCTGCAGCTCTTGTGGCGTACATGGTTTGTGACATCTGATACAGTTATTTTCATGTGAATGGTGCCCTCTAGACTTATAAATCATATAGCCCTAGTGACACAACCATGCCCCCCAGGGCCTTGTTCCAAATGGTTGACCACATGGTCCAAACCATCCATTGTTCATGGGATGTTGGTCACACCAGTTAACTACAATTATCACTGAAACTTGCCCATTATTTCACAACATACATATGCATACCATCAACATACATATGCATACCATCAACATACATATGCATATCATCAACTTACATATGCATACCATCAACATACATATGCATATCGTCAACATACATATGCATACGCCAACATACATATACATACCATCAACATACATATGCATTCATCAACATACATGTACATATGCATACCATCAACAATAAAGGGTATACAATACATGTACGTGTCTGTGAAATGTGCTGGTTCAGTTCAAGGCTTTGTGAGCTATGAAAATAACTACCAACCAAACACTTAAAATGCCTTCTGACATAAATACTGAAAATTTAAGGTTGCTGATTATCACAGCAGTTGTACATATCCCCAGAGATCTATGTATCACACCAAATCTGGTAAGCTTTATCACATAACAATTCATGTACATGTACACTGTTACATAGAAAAACTAATTGGAAACAATCTTTATAGACAGGTAGAATTTATTGTTTTACGTGAAAACGAGTACACAAAAAAACCCTGAAATCTAAGTGAATTTTACGCTGTACACTGTAAATGACACCTTTGTCTATTAAAGGCTTCTCTCAGCTAAAAACTGCACTCTTTGCTTTATGTATTTTGTCAAGGTTATAGAATCGGTATAATTATTCCAAACTAATCAAGACATACTTAACACAGGTTGGAAACTGTTTGATGGGACTTGGTTTAAACTTTGCCATTAAATTTATTAACTGATTAAGGAAGCAGATTGGTTTTGCCATGGGGCATGACATATTGCAGTGTTACGTACAACATCAGTCATCCAATCAGAACATATGCTACATACATTCAACTCTGTCTGTGCTGTAACGCTGAGTACTATTGGCTGTTATAATAGTACAGATGTCATGGCAAGATAATTATTCACACTGACACCTTCTGCAGTTATTTACCCCAGAAGGACTACAAAAAACAGCAAAAATATGAATAGTTCTACATGTAAAAGGAGAAATTTGGTGGAGTTGAAAAGACTTTATACATGTACATGTGTGTATTGTGAAGTGCCTCTAAATGCCTCTGAACACTCAAGGGGTGAGGTTGGCTTGGTGACAACTTATTTCCTTGCCTTCTGCCTCAGTGACCTAGGCCCAAATCATGCCCAAACCAACATGTAGTAGGATTTACTGTCCCTACCAGATTCTGTAGGTTTCCATTGAATATTGACTGAGGGATTTTCTCCTACAAAATGGAACACTCTTTATTGTCTTGCCCCAGAAAGGAGCAGATGAAAGATGGATGACATAAATACTTGTTCAATTTCAAAGGTTTAATTGGGTAAAGTGGAACTACCCCATTCAATTGTTCAATTTCAAATACTTCACAATGATGTACATGTTGTGTGGAAGTCATATGCAAGGTCTTTTGCCCTTGCAAAGATGGCATTGTAATGGTTTAGCAACTTACAATACAGATCCTTTGCAAGAGCAGCACAGCTTATTATAATTCACGTACATGCATGGTGATTTGGCTGGATAGAGCAATTGAACGTCATTCCAGTGTGGATATGCTGTCTTGTTTCACCTTTACTGTTACCCATCTGTAGCAGATCATTTGGCAGTTAGGTGGCGTCTCATGCATGTATGTCATCAATTCTGTGTGGAATTTTATTGTGTTACATACAGACAGTGCAACTTCAGGGGCCTTAAAACCTTGCACATTTGTTGTGCAGTGAGGGTGCAATGACTGCATTGACCAGATGTCAGATGTAAAGGGTGCACCCCTTGATGGCAACATTTCTGCAAATTCTCTGACTGAAAAACTCTTTGTAATCAAAGGTTTGAATTCATTTCTTGCACTATAAGGTGCAACTTGCTTCATTTGTCGTTTAATGAACATGTAACATGTAACAAACATGGCTGACTGTTTCCATGTACATGTATATACCGGTACACATGAATCACCCAGTGACCATCTGCTTGCCCCATCATCAATCTCCCCGTGATACTCCCTGCCGCTGCAGTGTGATTTTCAAGGAGCTAGTAGTTACTCTTATCTTTGGGTATGATTTAGATTGTGCATGACAAAACAGATGCAAACACCAGCATGTCGATATTCATGGGGCACCTTCATCAGCAGAACTTCCCTCTGTAGGATTAAAAACAGGAGATACAAATTAAAATACAACAGCTGGCAATTATAAATAAAAGAGTAATTAGTCCAACTTAAGCAAACCTCTGCCATGCTGTCTTGTGGTCAAGCTGATCACTTGCCCACCGCAAGGTGAATTCCAAGGAAAAAAATGAGTGATGACTGTATGATGGGTCATGCGAGAAGCTTGTGACTCACATATACTTTGGATTGAGCTGTAGTTTTTTTTTAATTTAAACACATTGGCCTCTCAGTTTGAGTGCACATACAGCTGCTACTCATTCATTCCTACGTGCACTCACAACTCCTGATTCATCACCAGAATGTCTTTGCAAACTTCCTCCCTAGCTGAATGGCATCCATATCGTTACAGCTGTTTCCTACAATTTGTGTCATATTGTAGTCCTATTGAGAAGTCTGTCACAAATTCATCACAGGTCATCCAGTCTTAAGCCAAGGCACCATTCCAAAATTCTTATCAGGTAGTTGTCCGACAGATCGTCCAACGGTGCATTTATTATCAGTTGGCTATCAGGTTAAGTGTTCTCAAGTAGCCAATTGTAACTGATAAATGCCTTTACATTGCATTACTCCCATGGCTATGTGGTTTCAGTGGAGCAACCCCCCTCCATTATTCACTCAACACAAGTCACTGTTGTCGGTCAGATAGCCCTCTCCTATAGTCAAGATAGGAAGTTTGAAATTGATTCAAATGAACTGGGACGACAGCATTCCAGTGTCGTCATTCACCTGCTTACTAATGACTGGCTTTATGGAAGGACTTGCAAAAGTACCTGTGATTAACTTGACTGTTTGGAACACCTTATTTGTCAGGTATGTAGTATTTTGAAAGAAAACGAGGAAGGTTGAACAGTATCATTAATGGGTCACTTAGGTGCTTGTCAGTACATGAGATGCATCTGTCATACTGATCCAAGAAAATTGAAACAAACAATTCAAACCTGATGCAATTTGACTTGAATCATCACTGGTGTCATCATACATTATCAGCTGACATGTCCAAAGCAGGTCGGTGTGGAGGCATATACCCAGGGATTCACAGGGGAAATGATCGGAGACACAAGCTACCAGGAACAAGAAATGTACACTTATACATGTATAATTGCTTAATTATATAGACTTGTATTGCACTCTTGCCAAGGATTAAAAAGTTCCATTTTTTAGTCTCAAATTAGAAGAAAGTTCACTCCTACCTGTCATTAGCTTCTGCCAAATACACATCTGCTTCAATAGTGTTTAAAAGGGGACATGGATACGTACATGTACATATATATCTATTTGGCATAATACTAGTAGTACATGTAATTGTGCCTATTAAGCATTTTAATTATTTAGAATTTGAATACTGGGAGATAGTTTGCAGGTACACCATGTAGAATCTCTTCTATGAGAGTGGTGGCTCTTAGAAGAATCGGCAAGTGTGTACTTGAATTTTCTACAAGAATGCTCAGATCTGGTCGTCCTCATGAGTTCACACTCACTGGTTCTGGTCAGAACCACCACTCTCACAGACTTGATCAATTCTACGTGGTGTACCTGCAAATTTTCAGTCTAGTTTTCACCATGCAAAGTTTCAAATCGTACTTAGTATTTGAATGGTGGAAAGCCAGCCATTGTTTGCTCACCACTTCTAGGCAAAGAGTTAATACTGTGAGGAACCAAGAGAAAAGTCTACAGCTGAAGTGTTTGAATGGGTTAGCTTGAACTTGAATGGACTAGTTTGAACTCCAGCAAATGCTTGACACCCTGGAAAAGAAATGTCACTGGGTTAAAATTCAAAGTGGTACTCACTGCAGTTTGCCTCATCTCTGAAGTTCCCGCAGTCATCTGTTAAGTCACACATGCGGTTATGAGGTACACAGCGGGAATTCCCACAATCCATCTGGTCTGCAGTGCAGTCTGTTATAGGAATCACAGTATAGTCCCAGCAAAGAGATAAAAAACAATTGAAGCAGAAAGGCTCCTGTATCATTATGCTGTCTGGGGTATGTTACTCAAAAATTGGTTGGGTGGAAACTTTTTGTTTATAAGAACATGACACTACCAAACTGTTTGATGAAATGTCCGACAAAAGACAGATGTGGCTGCACTTGTGACAAGCTGGAATGTGTAGTTTGGCACAGGAGAGGCATAAAGTACTGTTGCCCACTTGTGTAGTGGGCAGGGCTTAGCAGATTGGTCCTTCAGGAGGGGCAGTTAATGAGAAATACAAGGCCAGCATAAACAATGGGTGATAGCTTGATTAATTTGTGATTGCCACATGAACGAAAAACTTTAAATGAAATGTCACAGAGAGTATAAGGTGTCAAACAAATGCAGATTGGTGATCTGTCTAAACTGCCTCTTAATTATGTGCTACATTAGTTTGCTGTGTGTCCCAATCTGCCCTGGAAATACATGTTATATGTACCTAGCACCATGTTACTTAAATTGGACATTCACCTCCACACTATGTGTAGGAGACATGGGATACCAGGATAGTGCGTTGTGTTACTGTGAGATATCCAGAATACAGGATTGGAATATGTTACCCATGATTCACCAGACACAGATGTGAAAGTTGTCTAACTTTACTTCGCAGGTCCCTGTAGCGAAGGTTTTGCAGGCACACTTCTTTGCATCTTTATGTACGGTATTCGTCTTCAGTGTGTGAGAACTACATTCTGTTATTCAGTATATGAATACCACACAGTACCCAGCATCCTTTGTGGGTTAAAAGTATTGAAACATGCACTGTATCATTAAAATGGTCCGAGCTTTTTCTGGACAACTGAGGGTGCTGTTACTGTTATGTCAGTCAGGGAAAAAAACACTGTCCAGTTTCTGTGCTTTTGATGAAAACATTTTTATGAGTAAGGCTTGTTCACTGGCTGATGATTACCAAATACTTTAACATAAAGTAAAGGAAAATAAGGGCAGTAAAATGTAAACTACACATATTTCTGCAGTATTTTTTGCACAAATCCTGCAAAATTTGACATTTTCCTCCTTGGTTGACATCACAGCTTTGCTATGAGTGTGGCTATTTGCATTAACATAACAAAAGGCATCAAATCACATTTTTAAAAAGTCAAAATATGGACCCCCTTAACATATACCGGATATGATATCTGAAGCCGTTTTACTTTTCACAAGGTTTCTCATGAGGTACAGGACTGTAAGGTGTTTAACCATATCCTAGGATATCCTGTATCCAGGATATTCCCAGCATGTGATTGGATAAGGAAAAACATCACATACTGCAGTTCAGCTCATCACTGGCATCCAGGCAGTCATCAATACCATCACACCTCCAGAAACCAGGCACACAGATGGAGTTATCACAGCGGAACTGACTAGGACTACACTCTGTTGACATTCAAACAAACAGAACACTTGATACATTTTTACGTTCGATCTGTGTGATAGAGGAAATGAAAGGCATGTCTTTGTGATACGTGCTTACAGCCAATAACAGTTCATGCTCAGAATAAAAGTGAAAGTATTATTTTTTTCATGCTATAGCACAAATGTTCTTACTGGAAATCTTCGAAAGTTGGGCACATTTCAATCTGGACAAATTGTACCTTGACTTTTTGGTGACATTAACTGTACATTCATATAAATTACATTTGCCCCAAATATGAGATTCAGTTTTGGTTACAATGTACATTTGGCAAATACTGCAGTTCTTGAGATAAAAAGGGGTATTTTTCTGTGCAGAATACAGAGTGTGCACTGGAGGCTTACCACAGTTAGTCTCGTCTCTCAAAGTATCGCAATCAATCTCTCCATCGCACATCATCTGAGGTGCAATCTGCTTGCCATCCCCACAGTCAAAGTAACCTAAGCATAAGATCATGGCAACAAGCACGTACATCAAACACTATAACGGGGAGGATTTCTGTGCCTTTAACCTAAGAATAAAGAGCAAGACATGTCTGTTTCAAAATGTTGATTTTTCTCAGTGATAATTATTTAGCACTGAGAAATCATTTATCAGAGCACCTTCCCTGTACAGTGTGCCTCTTGGGAATTGCCAATGGCTTATCAAAGACTTTCAAAAAAGCAATTCAATTTCTTTTCAGATGGCACACCCAAACAGCAGACATATGAACCTCAGGTACCAAAGTTAATCACAGTTGAGAGAAATGTCAGTGTGAATAGTTTTTCTCCTGAAAATGTTAACAACTAAGGCCTTTTCTTTGCTGACACGAGAACACAGTGTAGCAGTTTGATTTCTTGACGGACTCTCCAGGCCTTACTGCAGTTACGTTCATCACTGCCATCACCGCAGTCATCTTGTCCGTTGCAGTGACAGTAATAGTCCATCTTACACAGGCCATTGTCACAGCGAAACTGAGTCTCTGCACACTCTAAAATGAAGCAGAGCATGAAAAAATAATGACCCACAGTTCCAATATCAAGCAGAAGAAGTGGAACTTTTTATCTGGATATGATACAAGGGAAGATCCAGGACTAAGTTTTTTCGAAGGGGGGGCTAAATTTTTTCAGGGGACTCAAAAATTTGGATCTTGTTTTAATTTAACATTTTATGTCCTCTCTGAGGGGTTAAGCTAAATTTTAGGGTTTTGACATGCTGTTGCGATCGAGGAAGAGCAATGAAATGGTCCCTGAAACTCCCCCGCTGCAGTTTCACAATAATAAACACAAATTTACAAATAACATGCATGGAGCCATGAGCAGTGTGTTAGCAAGTCTGGTTTATCTTTTCTGTTTTCTGCAATTTACGTACATCTCTTGAATATGTAATTAGGCTTAGCGTGTAACCACTTGTAATTTTTATTCAAAGTACTCATAAGAAAAGCTGTAGCTTTACCAGCTAGATTTCCTTTTATGCAGCATTTTGTTTCTGTCCATTAAATATGCCATTTAGTGAGTCTACTTTTTTTACACTTACCACATTGTTGCTCATCACTCTGATCATCACAGTCAAAGTGCCCGTCACACACCTGATCAGACCAAATCGATCTTTGACCTTTATCACAGCTAAATAATTCTGCAAATAAGGCAGAAAGCCACGCAGTTATATAAGGTACAATTTTTAGCTTTTGTATGAGACTAAACGTAATTTGCAGTTGAAGTGGAAACATTCTGGCTAATGGTCACAGAATGAGCAGCTGCGCCTCTGAAAATAACAAGAAGAGCACACGCTTATACTAAGATCATTGATTTGTGACAGCAATGTTATAGTCTTGGACCACTGGTCTTATTTGGTGCTCTCTTGGGTGTCACTGTTTTGCCTGAATTGTCTAAAATTCACTGTACTAAAAGCCAATTGCAAATTCTTTCCACATTTTTTCTACCTTCTAGAGGCAAAGTGTTCCATTGAAGGGAATAGTGGCTGTACATACTTGAATCCTGAAAACTCCTGCAAAACTTTCTGAAGGATTTTAGAGTTAGGCTCAGGACTTCCGCTGGAGTTAAAGTAGTTCATGATTTTTGTCTTCCTTGAAAAAGGTTTGAATTATATTTATATCACCTTGTGGAAAGCACATGAACATAGGTTGCTGATAACTTTATTGTGGTAAAACTTGAAGTCCAATCCTCACTCTCAAATCTCCATTAACTTTTATGAAAGGAACTCTTACATTTTTAAATGGGCTGATTTTCTAAATGTTGGACAAGCAGTCAAAATTGGGCCTGTTTTCAAGCTCTACTCACGTGGTGGTAGATGCCCATTAACCAATGGTTGGATGAAGCTCATCATTGTAGTCACGTTAGTATAGTAGTTGACTTCACCACATTTCTTACCACCGCTTACCAGGCCGACGATGTACCAACTTCCCTCCTTGCCAAGCTCTGCGTTGCTGTTCAGACATACCAGCCCACTGCCACTGTCAAACTGTGGGGATTGAAGGGTCCACATGCAATTATGCAGTTATTTTACTACAACCTAAAAACCCCAAGCACCTTGGTGTTTTGGTCAACCTTATTTTCAATTTCTATTTGCTATTTCAACAAGCATTCTGGTGCATATTTGGGATGTTTATGCTGAAACATGAAAATTTCCACATTCAAAGCAAAAGTGTGATGTCATCTTTCTCCGGAAGAGTCAATGTTGCAACTGCTGGTTTTTTTTATTGTTATTATTTTGCTGTCCAAAATTTCCTTTTTCTCTAAGTGATTAATTTTTATTTTTGGCAAAACCCGTACAAGCAAAACTTTTTCCAAAATTTCTTTTATTGAGCAAATTTGGAGTTTACAATTCAGACAGAAACACATAGACACTGGACAGTGCCACCCCTCACTGACATGATGGCAACGGTGCCCTCATTAGTTGTCTATGAATGGTTGGAGAATTTTAAATATTTAATACTCGTAAACCCACAAGGATGTCCGACAGTTTGCACAGTCTTCAGAGGAGTATAAATGCACAAAAGTGTCTCAAAAATTTCCTACCATGGACCCTTGAAGTTGGTACACACAAGATTCAAACTATTTCACAAAACACCTCCCAAAGAACTGCTAACAAACAACTGCCAACTGACAATGCCATTAAATTCAAAGTCTGCACTGCAGTTCTTGGTCAAATGTTGGCTATTTAACAAAAACAGCAGCATGATTTTGGCTTGCCCAAGTTGGAACACATCCCCTGTCTATTCAGTCCTGCGCTGATAATAAGTTGGAAACTGACCATCGTCTCACCACTGACGGTCACTCACATCATTAACTGTGCCCCAACATTATGCTTAGGGGCCGTCCATAAGGCATGTACGCACGAAATGCCGACTTTTCAGACCTCCCCCTTCCGTGTACGCATGGCGTAGGCAGTGGCTCCAACCCCTTCCCCCTGTTCGTATACACATTTCACAGTTCCGGAAGACGCTGCTGGTCTTTGTGTCATGAGTAATGATGTGGTTTACTAATAATGGGCGTTGGCACGGGAGGATAAATGGTGGTTTGGATGGGGGGGGGAATACTGTTTGAATTTCGACGCACAAAAGCTGATCCTGATAGTTATTTGTATGAGAACGTGTATTGATATGATGAAGATTCATTAAAGGCAAATTTTCGGTTTGCATACGATATGCACTGACCCCGTCCCCCTCTGTACGCATGGTGAGCGCAATGGCACCAACCCCTACCCCTTTATGCGAGCAAGCTTTATGGTCTGCCTCTTAGTGTGAAACCCTCCCATGCAACGTGTACACTTTAATACATCCCTGTCTTTGACTGCACCTGTTGGCTTGTCCCTCCCGATTTTCACAGCCTCTATTAAACTCACCTTGCATGCCCCCGCCCTGTGTCCACTAACAGTTGGCAAGATTCCAGCACACAGCTTTTGCTCATTGATCTGCAGCGTGTGTCTTGGGGAGATGGTGGAGGCAAAGGCGTAACAGTCTTCCCTGGAAAGGAGCGGCATGGCAATGTGCGTCTGCTCTGCTCGCAGAAACACTGCACAAAATATACATGTATGTACATATTTGTTTTTGCGGTATTGGAGTAATGACGATGAAGATAGTAATTAAAGGTAGAGTGTGGTCACAAGGACTCTCTTATGTAGCAGTATGCACGACTATTGGTTTGAATTCTGACAGCGATCCTCTTCTGTGCGTTCCTGCCGTGGGCAAGACACTTCAATTCTCTCCCAACTATAGAGTCAAAATCCCTTAAATTAGATCACGCCCCCCACGGTGAAACAATTACGGAACATCAGTTTGTACGAGACTAGTGTGCTTTGTTAGATTGATTGCTGTGTTATTAAATATCAAGTCAATTCCCCCTATAACTGTCAACCCTACTCTTGACAGCTCGAGAAAGAAGATCATGTGTTTGTTTTCTTCACTTGTCAACTCACACTGTGGTTTAATGCTGCCCCAGCTGGCCAGGTAACACTCGTCCTCCGGGGTGAATTTCATCCCTTGCTCGGGGAGGCAGGCCGGCATCACATAGCCGCTACCCCACTCCAGCGGCCGAGCCAACCTCAACATCGCAATGTCGTAGTTATCGATTCGCCTCTCGGCCAGATACCGGGGGTGGATGTAGAACGTCCGCACTGTTGCGATTTGGACGTTGGCATTGTTCTTCACCGTGTGGTTCCTAACAGTGCTTCCTGCGTGGACTGTGAACTCACTCGCGTTGAGTCTCTGCCAACCGTGTTCCAAGTACCTTTTCAATTAAGTATGAAATACTGACAGAAATAAGTGCACGACGTAATGATGAAGCAACCAAATTCAAGGTGATCAATGAGAAACTAAGTCTGGATCTCAATACAACAGGAGCATTTTTTTTCGTAAGTAGAAGAAATACTATCGTTCAATTAGATTTCATTTTTTAGCGATATTTTGTAGGAGTTATTGGTATTTCTGTATCAACGTTTGCTTTAAACAAATGATAGCTGTGCAACTTTATGATTAAGTAATTGGTTTATTACCTCAGGCAATTTTGGTCTTCGAAAAGCTACATTATTAATAACTGAATACATGTATGATGCTAAGTGAAATGCCTCATATTGCAGGATTTGATACATTTTAAAAATGTTCTCAGGTGGCATGCCCCAGGACCCCGTACTTTGGGGATATGGATGCCAGTAGCCCCAAGCCACTGCATTTTAAACCCCTCCTCTGATAATCCGGGCTACATCTCTGCCCAGTCTCCTCACAATAGGTCTACCGGCGCAGAAAAAATGGTGGTATACTAACATACAATGTGCTGCGGTCATGACCCAGTCGGTAGTGATCACCACTCCGCCGCATCTGTACCGGCCCCTGTACTCCACGGCTACCTGCCACGGCCATTGGCCGTCTGAGGAAAGCACACCGTTCACAATCCGCTTCCTCCGCTTGGCCGAAAATGCGGGTCTGGTGCCGCACTGGAGGGGTTGTACCCCCTCAGTGGTGACTGGGAAGTTGGACTCTTAGGACGAGTGGAACAGAGAAAAATCAGGAAACTATACCTAAACTTTTGATACAGGAGGTTGAAAGTTGTTAGGAATCAGTGGAACACTGGGCATTTACCTGTGCCGTTGATGTTTCAGTTAACAGGTGAATTCCAAGTCTGTCACTCACCGACGGATTTTAGACAGTAGAGAAACTATGATGGTATATTTCGTCAACCGTTGCCCTATGGGGTTTAAATTTTCAAATAACGCATGTCGCGCCAGTTCCTAGTGAAGTGGAAGTTTAAAGACTCACTAAAACAAAAACGAGCACAGTACGTTGCAGTTCCCAGATAAGCTTTATGAACCAAATGTTTAGCAGCTTGATGATGTAAGTGAAATAAACTGCTGTGGAAGTTAACTTCCTTTCCAACACAAAATCACATGCCCCGGTTTAAAGATGAGTATTATTTTAAAAAGAAAGCCAAAGGCCTGTCAAAAGAGATAAATAATGTTTGAAATTACCTGGTCAAAGAGGCATTGGTGCCACAAAAGAAGTAGTTTGTTCAGGAAGTTCTTGAACCTAATGATTACAACTGATGCCGTTTATCAGGCGCAGAACATGCAGAAGGGCATTTTTCCATTAGGAACCGGAAAAATCTTTTGAGTCATCCATCATCCTTCTCTGGAAACTGTTTCAAGGTAACTCGATTACTTTGCATCAGCATGATTTCACACACGAAAACAGAACTTCCCAAGCTCAAATTAACTTTTTTTTTCTTTTTAAGGTAGCGTCACGTTTACCAAGTGAGGACATTTCCTTGAATGACACTGATCCACTCCCAGTCAATTTGCAGACAAGGCCTGCCCTAGGCTCCGTTGGTAACAAGTGACTCTTATAATGTAGGTGACGCGCCTACTGAAACAAAGAATAAGGATTCCCAGGCACGAAAAAATGACTTCAAAGCCTGGAGAGAGAGTCGGGAAATTGCTCATGGATTTGTGTCGCGGATTTGTGTCGAGAGATGTCCACCAGAAATGGGAACTGCCGAGGCTTGAGATGGAATTCTTCTTTATAAGGATATTTCGGAAGTCGAGGATTTCAGCGGGCGCTCTGAATTTGGAGTAAGGAAAATTAGAGGGGGGGCTTGTGAGGGTACTGGCCTTTAAATTGATTGTAGCACTGAATTTCAGACGAAAAAACCAATGGGTAAACATAATACACAGAATTCTAACTGAAGGCGGACTGTACACGTGAAATCTTGAATGCAGGCCTATGCAAGCGAAATCCGACTCAGCAGCTAATTGGCGGTTGCACTGACCGAACAAAAGCATGCACAGTCATTCAGTTATTTATTTGAAAACAATGCAAGCGATAAACCTACCTGGAAATTGCATATTGGAGGTCTGGTTTCTGTTCGGCTGTGAAAATAAAGCTAAGGGAATGGGTGGGATGAGCGGGTATAAAATGTTAATGCTACTTAAAGTGCTACAAGCATTCCCATATTAAATACATAGTTTTTATATGCACACCATGTTTAACATTGTTTAAAGCACAAACAGCTACGGAAACTTTTATCCAGAGACTTCAGAGAAAGCCAACACCATTTTGTTTTCCCGGTATCGGAGCAAATACTTTGGTTGCAAAATGGAATAATCGGAGGCCTAAACACATACGTATAAATTTCTCCGCTGCTCTTGGGTTATAAAACGAGAGAGATATTAGATGTTTGGATGTGGTACATCATTTCTTCAATATATTAGGGGCGGATCCAGGGGGCGTAGGAAGCGCACGCCCCTCCCCCTTTGTTTTCACCAAAGAAAAAATAAATCAATAAAAAAACAGAAAAAGAGGGCGAAGGAAAAACAGAGGGGTCATACTGCCTGATACTGTACCACAGGACGCCTAGAACACAACAATGCCCCGGACTCTACTCCTTGTGGCTTCGCGCTACGCGGTCGCGGCTACCATTGCTGCTTTCGTTACCCCCCCCCCCGCCTTTGGGATATCCGAGATCACGCCCCCCTTCGGGAAAATCCTGAATCCGCTCCTGTATATGATTTAGGTTTATAAATTTCGAGGAAATTCCGTCCACTTGTAAATGTGGTTAGTTTAATGCATCGTTCCACATAAACACAATAACTTAATCAATAATTCGTTGTACAATCGCGTCATCTCTAGGAGAGTTTTCGATAAAAACATGGGAAATACAAGGATATACATCTTACATGTGTGACTGTAATGTAGATGAAGAAAGTGTTCAGTTTAAAAGGTACAAACTTTCTTTCCCTAATTTAACATCACATAATACTGATAATCTGGATTCAGTCTTTAAGATCATTAAACTCTGACTTCAACATTTCAGCCACGTCCCCTCAGTAACAAAATAACGGAACCCCTTTTTGTTAGGTAATTCTATTTCTCCAAAGATTTGATCGTAATTACCAGTCGATTATTTTGACGTTAATAATGTGCATGTGCAATGCAATTTACACTGCTGTATGATGTTTAATCGGGCAGGAATGACACTCTCAGCTGCAGAGCTGTCCAAAAATACCCCCCTAACCAAACTACATCAGCGCACAGAACATAATGCACCAGCACGATTATGAACATCACAACCCAATCAGAAAATGTCAATAAGCTTACCATTGAAGATCAGTACGACGGCAACCACCGCCAAGACGCTCAAGAAAGCAGCGCACACGACTGGCTTAATGGGATTGTGTTGCCGTAGCGACACGACCAGGGTTTTGTGGCTAGGTATCCACGGGGTGCCGTTAGCTAGCGGACTCCGCGAGTACACCGCCCCGTCTTCCACAGCGTTCGGCTGTGGCGGGGCTACGCTAACCAGGTAGTCGTTGTACAATCTCGTTTCTGGCATTGTGGCACTTTTGTTAAAAATCTGGCCATGGGAAGAAAGGGTTATGTCTTGAGAAGGGAAGTCTTTTTATACATATATAACAAAGAGGTATTACTTTTTTCATAAAAGAGTAATTTTTGCGTCTGGTAGATGCTTACCCTACAGTGGTTTCTCCCCTTTACTGGCATGCAGGTACATTACAGACGAAAAATGACCTTGTTTTAATGCAAACATTGACTGCGATATAGACCCTATGTGGATGCAAGGGTATCAAGCCTGTGCCGAAATTTCAACTGTGGCTCAAAGATTCAGACATGCATTTTGATCAAAAGAATGACACATTTCCTTCTACTGTGTTTAAAGGGATATATGAGATCGCTGTAGTTTGTCATTTTGGAGTGTCGTTTCTGTGACAGTGCATTGATATTTATACATCCCAATATACCTGTTCAAATCTCGTCTGGGTTTTTGTGTTGGCATTGTGGCTGTCATTGTTTTGTTTAGTTTGAAACTCGAGCGTAAAACTGACAATTGACCTCGTGTGGGCATTAACGGTGTTGGTTTCAATATGCAGCGATAAAGCTCCGTCACTTCAAAAGTTAAGGACTTATTTTCGCATCGAGCACACTGCGGACGAATACCTACCGCAGTATGTGGTCTGACTAGAGTCTGAATTCTGATTGGCTTCCACCTGTAATCGCGTGTATGTGGTCTGACTAGAGTCTGAATTCTGATTGGCTTCCACCTGTAATCGCGTGTATGGAAAAACAGCCTCAAGGACGAGGAGGTCAGACGGGATTACGAACATATGACCATTCCTTCCTCCATGTTATGACAGACTGCCTTAGCAGGGAGGCGATGATGAGCTACTGAACAACTTCAAGACATGCGACGGGTTAACGGCACCTTTTGCTTTTTATCAGCAATTTACCTAACACCCCTGTAGGCCTAGTTGAGGCCTTCACAGTGTTAACAGTGGGTTTATCATGTGAAAACACTGCAATTGTTTTTCAGAGCAAACGGAGAATTTCCCGTCGTACTTGCACTGTTTGTCGGATCATTGCGGAGACTGTTTCTCATATCACGGGGACTAATCTGGCCTTCTAATAAAGGGGATGCTTTACTGGCTAGAGCAAGCCGCAATTCGCAAGGACGGAGATCTGCGGTTAGAGGGAAAAATGACCTCCAAAAATATTTCTGAGATCAGAACGTTTTGAGAACAAAATTTATTATTAAGACTCTGACTCCAACGTGATCAAGCCAAGAGAGAAGTGAAGTCTCCACCACTACTACCGCCACCCACAGACATGTACTCCTCTTAGTACAAATAAACAAAGTAAAAGTCCAGTTTGCTTGATTCTTTTATTTTCCTATAGCTCATCACTGCACAGAGCTTTAACTGGAGATAGTGAGATAGCAGAGGGGGATCTGTCTTTTAGAAAACGAGGGGGTGTTGATGGGCGTACTGATGGGATGCCGTGCTACGGGGGTCCGAAAGCATCATGCACCGTTCCATGATGAAAAGAAAATTCTACTATTGATGAATAGACGGCGCAATTCTCGTCCACGGTTTTTTTTATACTAATTTTCGTCATTTCACTGGTAGCTCATTTAGTGCGCGACCGAACGGGGGGGGTGCCCTAGATCCGCCTTTGGGTAGGTGCTTGGGCTCTTAAAATGACATAGCTTATACGGAAAACAATATTGAGAGGGACACAATCCAAGCCAATTTTGAACACAACACATTTTACAGTGTATAAATCGAACGAAGTGATAGCCGACACTTACCTTCGGTTTTAATGGTGAAATATGCTGATGAAGCTACTGTCCTCCTCTTGGGCAGTCGTTTCGTAAACTTCAGTATGACAACATTCGTACTTGAGATCTTACTTGAGATCGTCACTGGTATGGATTTTCCGTCCGAGCCCCGTCGCAATTAAGCGACCGCCGGCGGTGCACAGGGAATTGTCCACCGGTAGTGCCATCCATTTCCGGCGCTGGACGAGCAACCTTGAATGGGAAATCCTCATAGATATCCAATTTTCAGTTCCTTTTTTTCAATATGCAAAACGTCAGGAGAAAGATTACATTCCCGTAGTCCGGTTGGCTATTGCGTGTCACCAAAGTCCGAGTGCACGCAGGCCGACTTGTTTTTATTCGATGGTTGATATATCTATATGACAGCAGTTGAACGGTGATCAATTAACTAATAACAGAAAAAGAGACACAGATGCACATTTACTAAACTTAGGAGACCTATAACAGATCTAATGCTACGCTTTAGCCTGGTCTGGTGCGTATCTTGAGTCCAAACGACACTGTTTTTATTTCATAATATCCATTTTTAACACAGTTTGAACTTATCAAATTTCATTTATAACAGACAACCGGACGAAATGACAGCAACATTCCGAATTAGGCGAGGCTACCACATTCGACATGTTGGGCCAGTATGTTAATTAACTTTAAAACCAAAGGTCGTGAGTAGGTACACTGTCCCCAAACTGGCCACTTCTTTCGCAAAACACACCAACAGAGAGCTGCAGAAATGAACGCACCACAGGATGATTTGACAATTGATGAAAACTTCTCACGTGGAACCAGAAATCACTTCTCCGACAGACCGGATTTGCTAGCTGCTGCTGGGATCCTCATTGGAAGGCAGTCGTGCAGTGTTTTCGGTTAGGTTTCCCGGAGCGAAAAACACTATCACACAAAAATCGAACACAGTTTTTATACTGCTATGGGCGAAACAAAATCCTCACACGTTCACACGAAAGGTCTCAGTTCACTCTCTGCTTAACGTTCGGTTTAAATCGCATTACAGGTGTGGAAGTCGTCTCGCTCACTCTCAACAGTCGGCCTGAAATCCACGCATAGCTGGGCAATTTATCAGGTAGTTGAACACGTCCGTAGTGTACTCCAAGATGGACTCGACGGAAGTAGAGCTGTTGAGCCCTCTGCCCCTGTCGGACTGTGGACCGGCTTTTTGTTGGTTCACGTCCAGTAATCACCGCTTTATTTCCTGGCACTTCAACGCTCAGCTGGTGATCAACGACCTTCCGTTTCCCGTTATGCCTGTCGATCTACGCGAGTTCCAACCATTAATATTCACAACAGTTGACGTGATCAAATTCTCGGCACATGCAAGTAAAACATTCACCCCCTGCAAAGCAGACTGTGACATTGTGCCCGACTGTTATCAAACTGGGCGGGTGGCTGCAATAATAGGGGGAGACCCAGTGTTCCAATGTTCAACGTAGGGACTACCTCTAATAAACTGAGCAAACCACTGCAGGCTGTACTCCGGTGACGGGGACATTTACTACATGTAGTTGAGTTGATTTTTGTCAGTGTTTTTGTTTTATTTTTTGTTTGTTGGGGTGTTTGGTTTGTTTTTGGGCGGGTTACTTCTTATGGTGAAATCAACCAGCTGTGATCGAGTACTATCTAGATATTGTGCAAAAAGCGTAATTTGGTAACAACAGTATTTAGAAGAACAAGGTGTGATTTTGAACAAAATTTAATCCCACCAATACCCCAACAATGAAATAAATAAACAAACAAAATTAAAAATGGGTCCCTAATATGCTATTGATGTGCCATCACATAAATGGTGTTATTTCAGAAGCCAAAACACGGAACCCAGTATCGCGGAATTTAAAAGGTCAAAAACAGCCAACCGCATCTTTATTTGTATGACCTATGATACGAGACCGACGAATGAGAGACTTTGAGACGTTCACTGGGAGCAGACAACCGGTCCTTTTCCCACAGTTGTGCGCGAGATCCGAACTTCAGCGCATGCCCAAAACTGTGCGCGTATGCGCGTAGAATTAGCAAAATGTGCTCACATGCCCAGAACTAGCAAGGGGACCAGTTTGCCGATCTCCAGGATCAAGACGGAGATCAATGGCCGCCGCCACCCAACCTCGTTCCCATGGGTGCAATCTTACCACGGCACGTTGGTTCCCACCATGCCTTGCGCAATCTCAACCCCTGGTATTGTGAGGTTTAAATATCCCGCTATTTGGGAGATTTAAATTAGAATCGTAGTCGATGTCTTTACGCGCGACGTAGATTTATGCGTACGTGACGAGCAGGAGAATACAGAGAGGTTTAGTTGCACGTTCTATGTGAACGCGAAAAAGTGTTGACTCTTGCTGACGTCATTGCTTCGTGCGTGTTGTCTTTCACTCCCGGGTATTTCGCACGGACGTCCAATGCGTGAAACAAGTTCACGTTGGATCAAAACGTAAGAAACTGCAACTTTTTTGGAAGGTTTAAAATTATGCATTAAAGTAACATTCGTGGATATGAAATTGACATTTTTGGAAAGTGCAAGGCTATGCAGCTGGGATTTTTTCATGCTTGGTTTATGATGACCGATTACACTTATTTTTTATAGATTGACCTGAGGTGATTGATCGTTTGTCCTTTTATTCGAGTGTTTTGGGAAGATGTACATTTTGTGCGGGACGCGCATCTAAACGTTCAAACAGGAACAGCTACGCGTGCGCAACAGCCTGTCCAATCAGCGCAGCCATGCGCTGACTCATGCGCGCACTTTGCTCCCGAAAGACCTTGAGCTTTAAAAATACTGAACTAGCTTATTATAACCATGTTTCCTACTTCCATGTTATAACCAAAGTTGCGACCACTGAGGAATTATGAATTTCAAATCGGACTTAAGCCTTGAATAGAAAGCCTTGATCATTAAGTTAACACGGTCTCGTGAACATGTGGTTAAAAAGACAACAACAAAAAACAAACAAAATAAAACTACCCATTGCCGAATGGTTGGTGAAAGAAGCTCGTGAGAACAAGTGGTAGATAGGCCGAACACCCTATGTTGTCAGATTCAAGCTCGTGACCAGACAAATAACTCTCTTTCACTTCTTATTCAATACATTCACACACTACCAGCGTGACCCAGTCTTCCCGACGGGAGGGCTCTCTTCGAGTCAAATCTACCAATCATTCCATTGTCCTCAGAAACGACACAATTTTCCCCAGCCCACGAATTACGACGCACATCCCCTTTGTAAGCTTCGTGTGTCTGCTGCACGGATGTTCCGATATGATGCGGGAAAAAGCCCCAATTTTACACTTACTATATGATGCATCATTCATAATGTGATGTGAAGTGGGCGTCAACTACTGCCTATAGACACTAGCAGGAAACGCTGGCTACTTACAGACTGTATTTCCATCGCTGCCAGTCACGCTTTGCAAGTAATATGAAGTGTGAAGAGACAACAACCAGCGAATATAAAGAATCAGCCACACAGCTGCACGGCTATCTCTACACCGCATGCTGGTATAGGGCGCAAACTAATTACATGTACATGTACAAGACTGTCTTCGCTGTGACTGTTGATGAACAAATGGAAATTAGCATCATCGGTTGTCAGCTTAGATGCTCCCGGAACTTTGCCAATGTAGGGAACAACGGGTCGCCTTTGGGGAAGAAAATATTCCTGGCAGGGTTTTTTCCCTGAGTAATTTGATTTTTAATGTCGGATCTTATACATGCTGAAATTTGTTCCTAGATGAAAATCCTACCTCTGTACTTTTTCGTCGTAACCACCTCGAATCATGATAATGAGTAGATGGCCATGGTTTCCTATTAAGTGATTAGTAAATGGGCCCTGCTCCAAATGGTTTCGAGATTATGATTGCCCTCCAAATGACCCTTACGTTAAGATGTAATGCTTTCTTGTTTATATGCATTTTTCCGATAGAATCATGGAGTCTGACAATCCATAATAATGCGACATATTAATTTACTTAATTTGTCCTGCGACTCGTGACTCGGATTCGTAACTTGGGCTCCAGAAGTCACTGGAGCTGAAGTAGCAAAAGACACAGACAAGGACATGGACAGCAGTTCCAGATGTGCGATTACCTTCGTTTACTTCCAACGCTCGTCCCGGCATAGCACATTTGTAATCAATTCAAATTAACAGGATGGCCAAATAATTAAAATCTTTTTTCTTCGTATTTTGACCATCCTCGTATCTTTGTAAATTTTCTTGAAAGGGTCCACTTTGATGACATTTTTCTGAGATACACTTTTTAATGCAACTTTACACTCACTTTTAATGCATGAAATTTATCTGACACCTCCCTTTGGTTCAAGAGCATTAAAGTTGCGTCTCTTTGAGTATTTATAAATTTGCACACTAGTCTTTTCAAGAACAGCTGAGAGTGCTGCTGCTGTGATGTCATTCAGAGGGGGCTTATTTCTGTCTCATTGTTAACTCATAATTTGCTCATTGAAAATATTTCTTTGAAAGGATTACTCTTTGGCTTTTATTTCCACATACATACACAATAATGAATGGAAAGGATAAATTCAGAACAGCAAAATAGAACAAGTCCAGCATATTTTTTGTGGGTGTGTGTGTGTTCACGTCAATGTATTTTTGAAACTTTTATCCCTGAATACAAATACAGTATTGTTCATGAATACAGAAATTTGCATTAGCTTAAAACAAAAAGGCACCAGCATTCCCGTTAACATAGCGAAACAAAGATCAAAATAGCAGAGACACAAGGGTGCATTCGTAAGGGGTTATAATGTAAAAACTGCACTTCGCAGACCCTTCCAGACACCAAGTCCTCACTATTGTGTAAACTGTCAGTTGAATATTAATATGCCATGAGACAGATGTCTGAAAATCAAGCTTGTATGAGTACATTTTAGAAAGGGTCAGCACAAACTACCCTTTTATTCGTATACAACTACAGTGAGATGACGATTTGGGAAGAAGTGAAAGTCCAATCAGGTCAAGATTTCATGTGCATTCTTAAAGTAGTACAGCAACGATGACGTCGTTTTCCTAACCTCACAATACGGAGAATAAAAAAACCAACAAGATTGTCGGTGTGTCACGACATCGCGTGACTTGACATGCGAGCGTGGGATTTGAGGTTTCAATTTCTTCTGTCTTCGATATGGACTGCCTCAAGGCGAAGACTTCAATGTTATTTCACGATACTGCAGTCTTGGCCGTTGTCATAGAAACCTTATCAAAATACTACAATTTCAATTACATCTCTGTATTGTGCGCCAGACCTACAAGGTTTGTCGAGTCGCGGGCCTGTTTGCTTCCGCTGTTCAATAATATCCTGTTATTAAAATGAAAAGCCCTACTTACTTTCCACAGATTGAATCAACACACCCATATTTCCCATCTTGAGGAAAACGTAATCAATAATGTTCCAACGTGAGTACATAGAAATATCCCAAGATAATATTCAACGCAGTCATTCAGCTGGACTCACATACACAATCCCCATTTCTTGGGTCTTCAGGACACCCCACCCCCGCGCTTTCAACATGTGACATGTTTCGATATTGACAATATTACATACAATTGAAAAAGACAACTAGCCTTCAGATACACAAATTGGTCAGAATGCATACTGTTTTAAATAGCCCTACACCCGTTGCCTTGCCGTACAGAATTTATAATTATATAGCAGCTTTAGGTTTCGTCACATCATGGCGTGAGAGTGGTGCATTTAGAGAATAATGCGGTTTTAATGGGCCAGGTTGTGAATAGAAATCATTCCCTGTCGTTGACTTTTGCATTCCTAATTGAAACCACCTAGAACGCGCGCACCTGACAAGATGCCACCTGGTCTATAACTGCAAATTTAACAGCCAGCAGCAGCTCGCCTTATAATCCTCCATACAGTGAATTTTGTCTGCCACTAGGTCAAGTCTTGTCTTCTCTTGGTCCAGTCATGATCATGAGGAGAGAGTGGACCCAGCTTTATTAGTACCCTGAACTTACTTTAAGCTTTTGGCCTTCTAAAGTTCTTTTTTGTATCAAAATGGGACACTGAAGACAACGATTCTCGCGGTGTTTGTGCCTGGACAAATCTGACTCCTCTGTCTGTCAAAAGCAATCGATGCTGACAGGCAATTCGCGGACATAGGTATGCCGAGCCTCGAACTGGCTGTTTGTACACTCGCGTCCGAATTGCTTTATCCAATCGCATAGTATAAGAACTAACGCAGCACGCGCAAACTTACTATATGCCTATGGCGGCGGGGTGGTAAGTGCGAATGGAAGCTGATCAGTATTAAATGATCGGCGTATGACGTACAGCAATGTTTTTTTTTCTTCCAATGTGTTCTGTTTTTCTGCACGTCAAGGAATAAACCAAGTTACAAGTCCCACTTTACATTTGAAAGTTTCAAAAGTTCCAGATGGATGAAGAGAGCAGACTACACGGTGACAAGTCTGCCGAGGTTAAATTGTCTAATTTTGTCTTATTGACCTTTTAATCGAACACCGCAGGTCTAGGTCGGGTGCATGCATCGCGGCATTTGCTACGAATTTCAGTCAGAAAATTACGAAGCGACAGGCTCTCAAAACTCACTGTTAGTCCTCTTTGACTTCAAGCAACTTGAAAAATCCATCATTGCTGGAATTAGAGTGACTGATATGACTAATTGCTTCAGGAATCTCCATCGACACATAAAGCTGCACACAAGTGGGCGTTATGCCTCAGAGAAGTTGAGGGGAAATAAAGAGGTTCACTTCAAATAATCTTGGGAAAGTTTATTTACATTTCTTGAGTAACTACCTCAAACAACATAAATTAAACGTCTTTAAAACGAAAGTAACAACCCTCAAGCAGCCCTACGTGGCAATTATGCTTGGCAAGGAAACTCCAGAGTGACGGAAAATGTAAACATGATCGCACTACGCTACTGGCTTGTATCAATAACTTGTCCTCGTAAAAAAGGAAGCGAAACTGGTGGAAACTATGATTGGGTGTAAACAGTCGAAACGTTCGTGCCTTTTCTTTGTACATGCAGGAATGCGCTAAGGTATGGTAGACATTTCGCCAAGCTGAAGAATATTTCTGGTAAGAGGAATGCAACCACGATGGTTATAAGGCATGAAGGTAGGCCTAAACAAACCGAGAACACCTCAAGAACGTTCATGTACGTGCCTTGCACAACAATAATTCAGAACCATTATATACTACATATCATGGGCCTTTCAACTATATAGCATAAATGAATTATCTCCTTTTCTTAATTATGGTATATTTTCTGAAATGTCCATATTTAACCCTTTCCAAATCGATTTAAAGGCCACCGAATACATGTATATTAAGTAAAATTACATGAAGTAGCTATATCTAATAATGAGTTATCATTAGGCCCATGTCATTCTCGTAATTCAGGAGTACGTCCGCAAGTGGCCTTTCCCCGAGGCCTTGTAATGAGAGTAGAGGTCTGGGAACAATATTGTAGTTATTATATGAGCTAATGAGCTTATAACACGGCTAATGAACACCATTCAGACTTTCGGTCCCTTAGCTGCTACGCTCTTTCGAGGTCGCTTCAAACGGTCACTCCTTAGAAAGCTCTGTATTCGGTTGATCTGACTGGCAACATCCGACTTGATGTCGGTATCGTCGTCGTCGTCCGAGAAAAGCAAGGGCCCGTCGTCGTCACAGGAGGGTCTTTTTGACCCTGCAGATGGAAACATTACTGCAGGAGTTAGGGTTCTTTGGGTGGTCGATTGTGCTTGAAACAATGTCGAAGAGTCGATGTTCTGAAGTAGGAATTATGAGACCATTATTACTAAAAGCTACTTAGTTATATCAGATAATAACGCGGTCGGCTATTCACATAAACGCTGCTTACCTACCTATTTGGGATCAGCCCTGTCTCCAGAGGAGACATTAATTCTGTTAATCTCTTTCATTTATTTTAGGGCGTCCCGAAGTCACATAGGCCTTAATTTCAACTCCAATAAAATCCCGCCTCTGCCTGTTTTTGCGCCCTTGGCCGGCCGCATGCGCGTTTAATTTTTTTTTTTGTAGCTGACACAGTGCATTATGCAATGTGCTAGATTCTCTTCTTCGAAATCGCAAAGTCAAATAATATTCGTTCGATGAATGTCTGATTTAAATTGTAATCGTGATGTTTCTAGACTCTCCACATGTTTGACGAGGGCACAATAGTAACCAACATATTTTCAGTTCGTTTTCTGATATCGTGGTGTTAGTTTTCTTTAAAAGTGGGGGACGCATCATCCATACCAATATGACCTTTAGTGACATGGAGCTCTGATCTTTAGTGACATGGAGCTCTTATCATAACTACACGTGTCAGGGATGCAAAATCTTCCACAAAGTATAAAAGGGATTGATTTCGAATGAAAAACTGATGGTGATGTTGTTCCACATGCTGACACACACGTTGAGAGAAAAAGAGATATGA